AGCCAAGCGTTGCTTGCACCACTTGTCCCGACCTTCTTGTACTTTAATCAATTTCAATCTAGTTTAGGTGCATCTGTTGAACACTTTAGGAGAATGATTGATGAAAATGATTAATGAAACTGATTAATGAGAGAAAGCGATTAATTTCTAAAAGACGCCCAAAAACCTCTTCGTTCCAAAGAATACAAACAGACGATTAACATCTATAGACCAAGTCATGAAAGAGAATATTCTATCTCAAACTTGATGGTAATTATGATTTGTTTCACTTAATGTATTGTCTTTTCCACGCACGACAGCCATTTCGAATATTTTGCAGTCATCCTTTCACGTTATTCTGACCAGCTTAAGCAATTCAGATTTGTTTTCGAAGATCGGGAGAAGATAAAAAGGAAAGGCCATGAATAAGAAAAAAAATAATCTGAAAGCTTTGATAGTCGCCATCTTACGCATTGCGTTGAGAAAGACAGGAAGTACTTCAGTGTATATTTTTATTGGGTTCAAAGTTTCATGCCTTGTTCGAAGTCATGAACATTTTATGGATGGAACTAGAAGACATGTTTTAAATGTGAATTTCAAAACTCAAGACCTTTGGAAACAAAAGGACAATGTACTACTGATAGATCTAGCCAAAGAGTTTCTCTGGCACCCCATGGCATGTGTGACCTTATAAGAAACGTGCTAGAGTGCGGAAAATAAAGACCGGTCGTGCAGGAAACCAAATCTATCTCACAATCAGCAATTGCTTCATGCGTGTCCGCGCGCATGTAAAAATATGAAACACGCAAGAATTTTGGAAAACAGAAAAGCACTAAAGAGTTTCTGGCGATGTAGCTGTGACGTCCTCGGTCCTTTGCGTAACCAATATAGCACAACACACTTAATATTAACAATTTTTTCATGCGCTAACGAGCATTTATCAAGATTTGGTTGTTTTTGTTTTTTTTTTTTTGCGGTTTTTCGGTTTTAGTGTTCATCGCACTTTGCGGATTTTCCGAATTTTAACATTTGGTTTTTTCGGTTTTCCTAAAAAATACTTATGGGCTTTCGGATTTGGTATCCGATGTGGTTTTCGGTTTTTCCTATTTGGATTCCGGTTTCTCCTCGATCTGAGCGACAGTTTTGCGAAAAATGCCTTCTTTGTTTACTACAGCAAATGAATCGGTACATGTAACATTAAACAGAATTTCAAAACAATGTTTTGGCTATAAGCTAAATTTTATTTTTACCATTAAGTCAAACTTGGAAGGCATCATGGGTACGTTCCAGGGTATGGAAGTGCTTCATAGTTCCTGCCGATTTTTCTCCTTGCAGTTTTATGACGCTTAAAAAAGACGTAAAGAACAGTTAATAAATAAAGAACACAAAAATAAAGACTTAGAGCCAGAATTTGTATTGCTCGTCAACGTAAATACTTGCAAACAAACAGTTGGCACTCAAAGATTAGCAAGATCACAACGACTGATAGGAACAGACCCAACTAAACGGCCTCGTTGTGAAATTTGTTCAGTCACTATTCAGATCCTGAAAACTATTTTCATTATTCGCCGGTAACAAAACGAGTGGGGACCTGGGACCGAAATCGGGTCGCAAAGCATGCATGGAGTTTAGTTTATTTCGTTTGTGTTTCGGAGAAATCTATGTTAAGAATGGGTAGCTGTGTTCGTTTTTGTTGACATAACATTTTATTCCTCCGCACTAGGTCCGGCGAAGGTTCCCCTTGGTCAGTGCTCTTAAGTTTCGTTACTATAGAATGATTCCCTAAGCTAACCACAAGCTAACTTTTGACGAAAGAATCGGCTGCATCACGAGGCACGATGATTTTTTGCCGAGAAGTCATCGGGCAGTTTCACTGCAATTTGCTTCTTTCCTCAAAGATTGCAAAGGCTGAGGCGGTCGTCGTCGAGCCAGTCAAACGGAAAACGAGCCGCTACGGAGCATGAGGCCGACGACATTCAGTGAAGAGTAAAATCTCCTCGATGTCGACGATCGAAACGCGTCCATTTGGCTATACAGTTACATCCTTTGGTAAGTAGTGTATAGAAATACCCTGTATATGTGTATTATTCTTGTGGCTAACATCATTTGGCACTCCGGCCACGCAATACGTTCATCCTATCTTCTAGATTTCTCCTTTCCCCACCATAGTTGCTGACCTGTCTTCACAGTTTTCTACGTGACAACGATGTAACATGATCGTATTGGCCACGCCCTAAATGGGGACACTATTTGGCCGCCAAATCGTACTTTCAATGCACAAAAAAAGGGTCAAAGAGAACTCGCCAGGCGCTTAAATCGATTATTTCTAATTTTGAATACAGCTATCCACCAAAAAGTGCAAAAAAGAATTTCGTATCATAGGTACTTCAACACTCTCGTAACTGGTAACACAATAATCGTGCCACAGAGGAGGAGGATGAGCAAATGCCCGATGACGAATGTTCTGAGGTATAAGGACGATGGAGATGAGGAAGATTAAAAATCAAAAACGAATTATCCGTTAAGCTACAGTTATACAGTTGAGACATTATGAAGTCATTATTTCTCCATGTGAATTGGGTTCTCTTATTCACGCAAATTAAGAAACTTTAATTACTCTTATTTTTCAAACATTTCGTTTCAATTATGCCCTTCTTACACTTAAAGGAGCGTTTGAAGATTGAATAGTAATTATTTTACTTAAAACGCACAATGCTTTATTCCAAACAATTTCGCTTCATTATGTGTTAGAAGAATCGTTTCTTAACATCCAAGATGGTGGATGCAACACGGCGGATTCAAGATGACGTACGGATATTTATGAAGATATGTTGTCTTTATAGCGACGGGATCTAACCTAATTATTGGCTGAGAATCTGTTATTATTTTCTTCTTCCATTCGGTGAAAATTTTGCAAGATCAGAAAATAAACAAAAATATTTCAAAATTCTATGTTTTCACCTCAGCATATTTTAGCGTTAGCGTCATGGGAAAAAATAATTGAAACTCTCATAATTTTGAACTCAGAATTTTAAAATCTCACTTGGAAGAAACTTCTGCTATTATTAATCAATCCTCCGGTAGAATTTCTCAATTCAGATGGTAGTTGGATATATGATGATCCTTTCAGAGGATTATATTGAAGAATGTTTATCCATTGGCCATTAGCTAATTTGATAGTCCAACCAGAGCCTTCAGATATCAAAGTTACAATCTTATTTTGAATCTCTTGACCTGAAATCATCAGATTATCTTTAAAATCAGCAATGTTGATCACTGTTTGGGGTGAACTGTTAAAATAAGCTGTATTATTGATTACACGATCTTGTGACATCTTTTCAAATGTGATACTCAAAGTCTCAACAGACTTTAGACCTTTCATTTCAACCATCTGTTGTGTGAGTCTGGATTGAATGGCTTTTTTTGTTTCAATATTCTGTTTTAATTGATCTTTATCATTTCTCACACCAATTTTAAATGATGTGGTATATATCCTTTCAGAGCTTTACTTTTCTCCTCTATTTCTGTTCTTCGAACTGTAATTGGTGCCTTTTTTGTCCTTGGTTTTGGTGTTGGTTTCCATCCATCTCTGAATTCAGTTGATAGAGGCATATTGTTACCCTCGTATTCTTGCATCTGTTTGACACTTTTTCGTAGTGCTGAGATTGGTCTTGTTCTTGATTTTAGTGTTGGTCTTTCTAGTTCAATATTTTGTTTCAACAACAGTTTTATCAACTGCGATTTGGTTAGTTTTTCCAGATCTTTATTGTTCAACATATTATTAGATTGCATAACCACATCCACTATACTATACTAAAATATTTTATTTTTAAATCTCGAATGATGGTTTGTTTAAATAATTTGAAATAACGTCGACGAAAAAATATCAATTTCACAACAAACCTTGCGCACGGAAGTTAATCGGTAGATTTTATTACGTATTTCACGGTTGTTCAAACAAAAACTTACACTTTCCTCGTATCAACATTACCCAAGTCTATTTCTGACAACACAGCGGCGAAAAAGCAATGATCTCTCCAAAATCGTTAGTTTGAACGTCAGAACAACCATACGTCATTCATTTCTTTCTAGGGAGCGGCAATTTTTGCCCCGTGACGATTCCAGAAGTTTGTGTGCAAACACAAGGATCCGATTGCTGGCAACTCATTCATTGTTTGAGTTGCCATTTGTCGTTATGCACAGATTTGAGCTGCCAGTCGTTGCGATGACAAATTGGTTTTGCGGTTTAGTTTTGACAAAACTTATATTTGGCTGGTGTCGAGAATAAAAAACTCTTCACTTGCCCTCTGGAAAATCCGACACAGTTTCTGGACCCAGACCACTTAGCCCTTCGTCGTCGACATAACTTTTCTTCAAATGTCTCCTATATGACTAGAAATGAAAGAGATCGGAAATTAAAGTGATGGGAAGATGACAGTTTTCTGTAATCTAAGATTAGTTCTTTTAAAAAAGCTGAAGTCACCGTTTTGCACAAGTAAGGCTTGGTTAAAAAAATACTCTGTGGTTTTACTTATTCGCAGAATATTTCCCTATCTAGAAGACTTTCTTCTAAACTTAGATAAAGATTCAGACCTAGATGAGCCACTGGTAGGTTTCCCTGAGCACCAAGCGATCATTCCTGTCACATTTTCTCGGGTCACTGTTTTTCATTAAAAAGTTTCATAACAAAAAGTTAATTGATCTATTACTATATTACCCTGAGAGGATATTTACTCGAATTTTATATCACACGGTTGTCATATGGTGTTGATCAAGAAAATTAAGAGATATCTACAGACTTAAAGCTGAGTAACAATTCTGGCAACATAAAGAGGTGCTAAAGACCTACACTTGAGCGTTTGTCAAAAATGCCTCCCCATTTTACCTGCCATAACTGTGGTCATCCAAACAGTGGAAACCAATCGAAAAGCAGAAGTGAAAAACGGATGAAACAAACGGAAATTCAGCCTTTCAAATGACTTGCCTTCATGCTGGAACTTTACTCAGTTTCTGAAGCAGGGTGTGACTGCCGCTATCTTCAAATTACTTTAATTTCCGATTTCTTTCAGTGCGAGTCATATAGGGGACATCTTAAGGAAGAGTTATGGCGGCGAAGGGCTAAGTGGCCTGGGTCCAGAAACTGTGTGGGATGTTCCAGAAGGCGAGTGAAGAATCAGTTTTGATGCTCAACAATAAACATAATCAAGCACTCGTGTTTGCGGAAAGTGACGGGAACGAGCGTGTGAGAGGACGCACGCGCGAGAGAATTCGAAAGAAATCAGCAAAATTACCTCTGAACCTTCAACTTTTTTCTCTCAGATATGAGTTCTCACTACTCTCGACCCACCAACATGGCCAGATTCTAGTGGATCCTTTAGTCTCTCAAGGGAATTTGATTAAATTCATACCCTCCTAGATTTTTAAACCAAACCTGCATGACTCTGTAAGCCTAAGGAAAGGAAATTGCATAAAATATCACGGAACGAGCGTGTGAAAGGACGCGCGCGAGAGATTTCGAAAGAAATCGGCAAAATTACCTCTGGACCTTCAGCTTTTTTCTCTCAGATATGAGTTCTCGCTACTCTCGACCTACCAACATGGCCAAACTCTAGTGGATCTTTTAGTCTCTCAAAGGAATTTGATTTTTAAACCAGACCTGCATGACTCTGTAAGCCTAAGGAAAGGAAATTGCATACAATTTTCCAAGTTCCAAGACCCCATGAATTGCAGAAAGACTTAATTCCATTATTTCCCTCGTCGAATAAAGTTGTTGCTTGAAATCTATTGCAAGTTATTCGAGAAATTCTTGGCTACTCTCAGAAACATAAGTTGAAGGGAGGGGGGGAGGGGAGGGAGGGGGAGTCAAACTGTAATTTGTCGCTTAACCACCAACAAATAAACAAACAAGTATAAAAGTTTCATCCTTAGTTTTTACACTTTGTTACTTATTTTTTAGAGTTCGTCGGGATTATGCGCAACCCTTCTGTGTCACAGGATTCCATTACAAAAGAAACAGATCTGGTTAATGACGTGGATTAGATGTTCGTTTCAAGGTTCTGAAACCAAACGAGTAGTCACGGAAACAATTTATCCATTGAAGATTAACATGCTTAGGTCTGGCCTCTGACTTGAAAAGCGCAAGACACCAATTTATCGTCCAACAGTTGAGTGAAAACACCACGCGCTATGCTCTTCCATCTCGACCTCTTTGATTCGACGAAGTTGTCGGCTTCGCTAGTGAATGACGCTTGAGTTTGAATTCCATAAAGAAGACAAACTTAAGGGAGCTCTGACTCTTTCTATTAATAATTCGTTTAAGGTATAACTTAGTTTTTCTAAAGAAAATAGAGAAAAGGAGCTCGTTTAAAAGTTTGGTGACTTTTACATAAAGGAAAGAAACTTTGCTTTCCTCAAGTGTCAATTATTCAATGTTCAAGACGGTGGTAGCTTTTACCATATTTTTTATTGCCACGCTGTATTAAACTGATGATAAAATTTGAAGTACGAGCTTGACATTCTGGTGCTACTGTCAAGTAAAAATGTATTAAAAGCCAACTGAGATACAATAAATGAGTCGCGTTAAATGCACGGGGAGCTTATTTAAGTCTAAGGAAGACCGTGGATGGGTGGCTCTTATTCGATTGAAGGCGTAATTTGATATGATTGTTTTTATTTACCTATCATTTTTTAGCCATGACCTCTGCATTCAAACAACAACTGAAACTTAACGTGTCTACAGTTTTAAAAAATTAGTACGAAATAAAGTTTGGGGAAAAGACGCACTTGAGCAGTTCAGTAAAGGTGATCATTCGGCTACAAAACACGCCCCGCGATGCACGATGACTGATCCTCGGCCTTCTCGGAGGCTGACTTACACCATGCACCTTTAAGTGAAACACAAGACATGATGCGAAATACCGGCTCGGAATCGTCTTTACAATGCCATCGACAGAGCAGGTGACGTGGATATGGTTTCTGGCATGCCTATGCACTCCAAACGACGTCATTAAAAACATTACAAAAAAAAAACTTGATCAATTAATGCAAACAATGACCAAGGTTAAATCCTATGATTATAATTTTTATACTTTATGATTCGATGAAGGAGACACTAAATTAACCCATTATTTCAAATGTTTTACTGATTGATGAGATTCACATACTTCCAGTATAACGGATCGATCTACGAGCAGAAAGACGGCGCCGCCGTGGGGAGTCCGGTTTCCGCTGTTATTGCTAACCTCTACACGGAGAATTTCGAAGAACAGGCGATAACTACATCATCCTACCACAGGCGGCCCAAGCTCACGTCTGGAGAAAAAGCCAACGACTAATTAATGAACTCGTCACGAGTTGTGACTCGTTACGAGAGGAACCGTTGAAAATTTGAACACGTCATAAGGAATATGTGGGGAACGAATTATGGTCGATTTACAACGGTAAATATTACGAAATATGAATATTTTACACGTAAAATCAATATCACTTACTCGCATCCTGTGTGTCCGTTGTAGTTACCGGCGATTTCTGCTGTTTTAAGCTTGCTTTACCATCACTGTTATTCCTGTCAAAAGACGAAGTCAAGGCTGCACACTCCGATTTCGACCGAAAGTCCTCCCGATCGGCATTTTTCTCAGCCATATTTTACGATCTAAGATCATTGCACCCTGGGACATGTCTCAATACCAAAACTCCCCGCGCATTTCGCTGGAAACGATCGTTTTCTACCTGAATTTCCAAGTTCGCTTCTTTCTGGCTATGCTTTGAACAAGCAAACTGGACACGGCCGCGGATGTACATTGATCGACCGCACCACTCGCGGTAGAAAGAAAATTAACCTCGTACCCAAGTTTCTTCCAAGTTTCTTCCACGGACACACAGGATGTGAGTAAGTGTTATTGATTTTACGAGTAAAATATTCATAATTCGAAATATTTACCGTTGTAAATCGACCATATTTCGTTCCCCCCACTATTCCTTAGAACGTGATGAAATTTTCAACGGTTTCTCTTTTTTCCTCTCTTTTCAGTAACGATACCATTTCACTCCAGACGATACTATTCAAATAAATCAAACTTAATTGAGCAAAAACTGGCAATGCTCTAATTTTTTATTATAAATTTCGTAGTTTTTTATTTGACGAGGGAGACATCTTAATCAACCCATCATCTCAAACGGTTCGTCAAGGTAGAAACCGATTACTCAGATGATCACAAAATTATAATCTTCGAAAGAAAAACCCAAAAGAGCCTTTGCAATTGCTTTATTCTAATCTAATCCAATACAATGTTTTTTGCTGTTAAACCGAATAAACTGAAAACTCAAAAAGATACTTTTTACTAACAACTTCTTTCGTCTCGAGTAACGAAGTATCGATGACAGGTGTTGAAAAAAAACATTAAAAAACTATGAAAAAATGTTATTTTGTTCAGCTAAAAAAATTTGTAAACTTTCCGGCAACTGTAAAGTTTTGAAAACACCTGAAGTTTTCCCTTGGACTCCTCCTTCTCAGTCATCATGTTCCTCATCATCCTCTTCTTCGCTTGCATTTCTTATTTCTTTCTTATGACCAACACCATCATCAGAATCTGTGAGGGGTTTCTTGGCAGCGTTGGTCAGCTCGTTGACGACTTGGTACAACTGCTCTCCAAATTCAGCCGTTAAATGAAGCTGTTTTACTGCGTCGGGAATATTTTCCTGGCCAATCGTACGTGTGAGCTCGTATAGCAAGACTTCCGGGCTCACCTTTTTGAGGTCAAGAACAGCAGCTTGTGTGCAGTAGCAGAACCCATTCCGACGTTCATCTTCAACTCCTTTGGATGAAAACTCGTATTTGTAAAACATAACATCGATTCGCAAGAGGGCGTTATCGCTAAAGACGATGTGGTAATCGTTCTGTTCACTTACGCCAGCCTGAGTGTTTACCAAGAACTGGTTGAGGGCCACGCCGATGAGGCTCACAAGACCCTGTATGATGTTTCCACCAAACATTTCTTTGATCGATGTAGTTATGGCATCATCAGGCGCGTTCGACACGTCGACAGAATACTTCTCTGATGTGTCGACAAACGCCACAATCGGGACATTAGCGTCTTTGAGCGCCTTTTCCCTTATCTCTGCTCTGGCGGCGGCAACTTTATTAACCATCATCTCTTGCAGCATCTGCAGCTCTTCCACGGCTTTCTCGTCATTGTTTTTCTGTTGTTCCTCAAGTTTTTTCGAAATGGATGTTCCCATGATCTAGATTTTATCAAAAAAGAACAACTTAAGCTGGTGATTGAAACCATAAACAATACGCGTTTCATAAATCAGTGAAATGAGCATACTACAAATCAGGAATTTTTCCCATTTCGTTCCCGGATATTTTTTCGATTTAAACATGTCGTCGTATCTTTTTTAAAAATTTATGTGTACTTGAAGAATATACCAGGAATCTTAGATCGTAATGATACAAGCCACATTTCTGATTCAAGTTCCATTGGAATGTTCCAACTCGACGAAACTGCAGAAAACCAGCCGCAGAGCGCACCAATCTCAGCGAAAGGCACCAAGGACTTTATGCTTCTACCTGTCAGTTATTCTTTATTATCCTTGCTTTTCTGCTAACCTCTACTGACAGCGGATTGACCTTTTTGGAAGATTAATTTTTCCCGTAGTAGAACCGTTACCACAATACTTTCAAGAGAATCTCAAGAGTAAATAAACGAACGAACTAACAGGAATATATCTAATGCTTCCGGACATTATTTCATCTTTGACTGAGAAAACCAAACTAGGAACTTTGTTGAGGTTCCAAATCAAGGACAAAATCAGTAAAAAAATAACTAAAATCACTTATTTCATAAGACTTACAGAAGAGCTACAAAATATGATCAGAGAAACCTATACGATACCAAACACTAAAAAGAAAGTAAATGATCGCATGACAGGGTCACTTCAAGCAAGGGCATCGTGATTCAAGTTCGAAGAATCCGGTAACCAACCAGGACAATCAGATTGATTGATTGGCTAAATTCGTGAACACAAATTACTAAATTATAACTAAGTAACTAGTAATTTAGAGTCTTAATTGTTTGAAGTGTGGTAAAAGGTCCAGTTCGCGTCTTCGGTTTGTTTGCTTATTCATCCTGTTTTCTTTCAAAAAGTTTCCTTGTCGCTCAACCAAACTAACAAAACACTTAAGCCAAGCGTTGCTTGCACCACTTGTCCCAACCCTCACGTACTTTAATCAGTTGCAATCTGGTTTAAGTGCATTTTGTTTTACAGTTCAGGAGAATGATGAATGAAAATGGTTTATGAACATGATCAATGAGAGAAAGCGATTAATTTCTGAAAGACGCCCTAAAACCTTCTCGCTTCAAAAAACCCAAACAGACACTTAATATCTATAGACCAAGCCACATTAGAGAATATTCTTTCTCAAACTTGGTGGTAATTATGATTTGTTTCACTTAATGTATTGTCTTTTCCACGCACGATAGCCATTTCGAATCTTATGCAGTCACCATTTCACGTTATTCTGACCAGCTTGAGCAATTCTGATTTGTTTTCGAAGATCGGGAGAAGATAAAAAGGAAAGGCCATGAATAAGAAAAAAAAAATCTGAAAGCTTTGATGGTCGCCATCTTACGCATTGCGTTGAGAAAGACAGGAAGTACTTCAGTGCATTTTTAAGTGGGTTCAAAACTTCATACTTGTTCGAAGTCATGAACATTGTAGAGAAGGAGATAAAAGACATGTTTTAAATAAGAATTTCAAAGCTCAAGACCTTTGGAAACAAAAGGACAATGTACTATTGATAGATCCAGCTTGGATAAAATCATTTAAAGTACATCAGCACTTAGCTATCAACTGTTAAGAACCACTGAGATATCCGTGCCCGAGACTCAGCTCTTTCACTTCTACAGTCTAAGCAGCCCAAACAGTAGCTGTGGAACGTTTGATCATGCTGTCTTGTCGAATTGGCGGAGATTTAGTCTTTGAAAAATTATGGTCTCCCTTTCTAAAAAGGAATGACAGCTCACCTTGGACGAAGATTATGGCTGACTTCGACGAAAGCGTAAGTTATATAAAAAATAGTTCTAGTGTACTAACTTTGATTTGACACTCACCAACTTCAACTTCAATCAAAGCCTTAAAGTGGGCGATCCCAAATGACAGGATACATTCACTGTGTAGGCACCTTACTGGAACTGATCTTGATAGCCTAGGAGTGTTAAATGTCTATCTACTGAAACATATTGAAGCGCAACATCCTTTACGTAACCAATGCGGCACAAGACACTTAAGATTAACAATTGTTTCATGTGCCAGCGAGCATTTATCAATTGGAACATGCAGGAATTCTGGAGAGTCGATCGGAAATGATGCGCAGATTATGACAAGAGACATTCACTGTGTAAGCACCTCACTGGAACTGATCTTGATAGCCTAAGAGTGTTAAATGTCTACCTACTGAAACATGTTGAGGTGCATCAGGCAAAAACAAACAAATCATGCTATACTAAGAAGAGAAAAGGCCAAAAGTTTCTCTGGCACCCCATGGTATGTGTGACCTTATAAGAAACGTGCTGGAATGCGGAAAATAGAGACCGGTCGTGCAGGAAGCCAAATCTATCTCACAATCAGCAATTGCTTCATGCGTCCCCGCGCGCACATAAAAATATGAAACATGCAAGAATTTTGAAAAACAGAAAAACACGAAAGAGTTTCTGGCGATGTAGCTGGGACTTTCTTGGTCCTCTGCGTAATCAATACGGTACAACACACTTTAGATTAACAATTTTTTCATGCGCTAGCGAGCATTTATCAAGATTTGGAAAATGCAGGAATTTTGGAAAGCCGAAATGGCGCCAAAGAGTTTCTCATACCGTCCGTGTACCCGAGAGCACTACTGACCCTATAAGAAACGTGGAAAACTTCAGGAAAATAGAAACTGTTCGTGACTCAAGACGAATATATCAGTGTAGGAAACCAAATCTACCTCACAATCAACAATTGCTTCATGCGTCTGCGCGCGTTCATAAAAATATGAAACATGCAAGAATTCTGCCGCTTGTAAAGAATATTGTTAGTCAGCGACTGTTTGTTTCCTGTCAATTCTGTTGAAAGGAGTGACGTCACTTGATCACGCGATGATACCTGTTCAGCTACTCGTTGGGTTCTGCTATTGTACATAAGGTTAGTTTTCAAAAATGCTCTGTAGCATTACTCCGCCCGAGTGGTACCGAAGGGTCACATCATGGACTATAACAATTATACTTCGCTTGTATGGAGTTTTGGTAAACATAGGCGGTTACACACTAAGGAAAAGAATACCGTGAACATGACCTCTTGCATAACTGCCTTCCAATGGTTCGCATCGCAATTTTTTTTTTTCGTTTTTCTGCTACCGACAGCGGACTGACCTTTTTGGAAGATTAAACTTCTCTTATCAGAACAGTTACCCCAATAATTTGTTCGTTTGTTCATTCGTGAGATTCTCGGAGAATCTCACGAATGAACAAACAAACGAATGAACAGGAATGTACTTAATGCTTCCAGACATTACTTGATCTTTGACTGCGAAAACCAAAATAGGAACTTTGGTGAAGTTCCAAACTAAGGACAGAATCAATTAAAAAGAGAACTAAAATCACTTATTTCAGAAGACTCACAGAGCGACTTCAAAATATGATCGGAGAAACCTAAACGATACCAAAATCTCAAAGACACTGCATGACGTGATTACATCAAGAAGGACATCATGATTCAAGTTCGAAGAATTCGGTAACCAACGAAGACAATAAAAACAGGAAACTCATTTTAATCCGCAGTAACCTTAAACTTTGAATTGAGATCCAAATTAAACACGTCAACACAATCACTAAATCATAACTAATTAACTAGTAATTTAGAATCCTAACTGTTTCAACGGTGTCAAAAGGTCTAGTTCGCTTCTTCGGTTTGTTTGCTTATTCATTCTGTTTTGTTTCAAAAAGTTTCCTTGTCGCTCAACCAAACTAACAAAACACTTTAGCTTAGCGTTGCTTGCACCACTTGTCCCGACCTTCACGTACTTTAATCAGTTTCAATCTGGTTTAGGTACATCTGTTGTACAGTTCAGGAGAATGATTAATGAAAATTATTTATGAAAATGATCAATTTGAGAAAGCGATTAATTTTTAAAAGACGCCCTAAAACCTCTTCGTTCCAAACGATCCAAACAGACAATTAACATCTACAGACCAAGTCATGAAAGAGAATATTCTATCTCAGACTTGATGGTAATTACGATTTGTTTCTCACTTAATGCATTGCCTTCTCCACGCTCGACAGCCATTTCGAATCTTATACGGTCACCCTATAGCTCCCTATTCTGATTTGCTTTCGAAGATCGGGAGATGATAAAAAAGGAAAGGCCATCAGAATGAGAAAAAAAAATCTTAAAGTTTTGGTAGTCGCCATCTTCCGCATCGCGTTGAGAAAGACAGGAAGTATTTCAATGCGTTTTTAAGTGGGTTCAAAACTTCATACTTTGTTCAGAGTCATGAACATTGTAGGGAAGAAACTAAAAGACATGTTTTAAATATGAATTTCAAAACTCGAGACCTTTGGATACAAAATGTTAATGTACTACTGACAGCTCCAAATTGGATAAAATCGTTTAAAGTATCTTAGCACATAGCAACCAACTGTTAAGGACCACTGAGAAATCCGTGCTTGAGACTCAGTTTTTTCGCTTATACAATTAATTAAAAGTAACCCAAACAGTAGCCACGGAACGTTTGATCAAGCTGTCTTGTCGAATTGGCGGAGTTTTAGTCTTTGAACAATTTTGGTCTTCCTTTGTATAAGGGGAATAAAGAAGATTATGGCTGACTGCGACGAAAGAGTAAGAAGTGTAGAAAATAGTTCTGGTGTTATACTAACTTTGATTTGACACTCACCAACTGCAACTTGAATCAAAGCCTTAAAGTAGACCAACCCAAATGACAGGAGACATTCACTGTGTAGGCAAATTACTAGAACTTATCTTAATTGCCAAGGAGTGTTTTAAATGTCTACCTACTGAAACATGTTGAAGCGCATCAGGCACAAACATGGAAATTATGCTATAAATAAATAGAAAAACGCCACTGAAGAGTTTCTCGTGCGCACGAGGTCACGTCTGACCTTGCGAGAAACGTGCTAGAACTCGGAAAATAGAAACCGTTCGTGTAGGAAAGCAAATCTATCTCCCGGCGCAGTCGTTGATCTGCTTCCAGGTTTTATGAGAATTCTTTTTGTTTAATTCTAAGTTATAGAAAAATTATTGTCGTTTGGCTGATTTGATGGCATGGATTGCTCCATTCTTGATAGTCTTGGAGTGTTAAATGTCTCCCTACTGAAACATGTTGGAGCGCACACAGCACAAACACGGAAATTATGCTACAATTTGTAGCGCTCATCTTACAGCTAACATGATACATAACATGACATAACCGATACAGCACACCACACTTAAGATTAACAATTGTTTCATACGCCAGCGAGCTTTCATCAAGATATGGAACGTGCAGGAAATCGCCAAATAGTCCGTGCACTCGAGAGCACGTCTAACCCCATAAGAAAGAGGAAGCTAAATCTATCTCACAATCGATAATTGCTTCATGCGTTCGCGCGCGTTCATAAAAATATGTAACATGCAAGAATTTTGGAAAACAGAAAAATGCGAAAGAGTTTCTCGCAATGTAGTTGTGGCTTCGTTGACTGCACAGCCAATACATGAACAGATTGTTTTATAGAAGACCTTGAAGCGCCCACCTAGTGATATCAATATAAAATCCTTAGCCGGAGGGGGGCATTGGGATTTTCTCATTTATGGGCTTGCGGATTTGGAATTTTACGTGGTTTTTGGTTTTTCCTATTTAGGTTTCGGTCTCTCTCCTCGATCTGAGCGGCAGTTATGCGCTTCCACTGATCTCCCATCGATTAGTGTTTTTCTAACTGACATAACTGGGTTGTGAAAATTTATCAATTTTTTCGCAGGCGGTTTTTCGGTTTGGGGTTGGTTTTGTGGTTTCTAATAAACTCAGACGCGCCACTCTACAACAACAACAAAGCTTTAAGTGGTCAACCTCGTTGCCTGTTAGTCTGCAGTCAAAAGAATAATTGTTAATCTAGGACGAATATTATGGCCTTCCCACTACGATCACATGTGCTTCAATGACCGCTTCTTGAAGGTGAGTGAGTCAGTAGAAATGAAGCCCGAAAATAAACATTACAAAACCTTACATGGTGTCAGAAGCAGGATTCTCTGTTCACAAGGTCTACGAGTCACAGCTTGCACAAATTCCTCTACCGAAGAAATTGGATTAAAAAAAACCTGAAGAGTGGAAGAAGTGGATGGCACGGTTCGAATGTTATCGCATCGCAGCAGGCCTCGACGAAAAAGATGACAAGTTCCAAATTAATACGATGGCCTACGCAATGGGTGGAAATGCGAACGAGATCCTGAAAAGCTTTCATCTCTCAGAAAGGTCACTAATCTACAACAGAGTGAAATCACGCTTCGAAATACACTTCGTGGGTCGTACGAATATTATTTTTGAACGAGCGCGCTTCAACAAACGAGTACGAGGTAAGAAAGAGTTTGACTGATTTTTTTGAAAACCTCTATGAACTCGCAGAGAGTTGTCAGTTTTTTTCGCTTACAGAAGAATTGATACACGATAGTATTGTTGTTGGAATTCGTCTCGACTCATTTTCTCAGAAGCTTATGCAAGATGACAGATTCAAGCCGGATAAAGCTATCACAGAAACCAAGTTGTCTGAGCTTGTCAAAGAGCATCACGAAATCTTAAAAGCAAATGAAAATGGAAAATTAGAAGGAAAAATAAATCGCGTTCATAGTATGGAGAAAAGCCGCCCGAAACCCAGAAACATGAAAGAAAACGAGCGGTCAAAGGTACAAAAACCTCACAGGAAATTTCCCGCCAAAACATGTTATCTTTGTGGTAAATCGCCCTTACACAAGCGAGAAGAATGCCAAGCAACGCGCTTATAACGTTCAAAACAAGGTTGTTCGTTCAATTGAAGAAGAAACACAGGGTGAAACCACTGATTCAGATAAATCTACTACTGAAACATGTTGATGCGCACACAGCACAAACACGGAAATTATTCTTCAATAAGCAGCGCTCATCTTACAACTAACATTTGTTTGTTGTTCGTAACTGATACGGCATACAACACTTGAGATTAACAATTGTTTCATGCGCCAATAAGCTTTCATCAAGATATGGAACGCGCAGGAATTTTGGAGGTCAAGAAATCGCCAAAGAGTTGCTCGAACCGTCCGCGCACCCGATGGCATGTCTGACCCTCTAGCAAACGCGCTAAAAATCAGGAAAATAGAAACCGTTCAATCCCTAGATCTAGAGGTCGTTAACGTATCGAGCCATAGATGCCCACGGGGCAATAGGATTTTTGGTTTCGCGGTTTTGGCTAATATTTAGATCGGGTTTTCCGTTTTGGTGAAAAACTTGTTTTTCGGCTTGGATGTTCAATGATGTTTGCGACGGTTTTGCGGTTTTGTGGTTTCTAATAGACCCTAATGACCCACTCTACAAAATGCGCTAATTACAGCTGTAATCGTTCCACCTCATCGACTATCAGTGCAGTTAAAACTGACTTCGGAAGTAACAATTATAGTTCGCTACTAAAGTTTTTGGCAAACATAACCTTTTTGATGATAGAAAAGTCGTCGGTTATACGCTAAGGAAAAGCGTTATCGTCATTTTTAGTTTGTTTCATCAATCTCTCATTTAGACCTCTTGCGTGACTGCTGTTCAACGGTTCGCATCGCTTTTTTTTCTTTCGTAATAGCCCAAACTCTTTCAACTTGGACGCGCCGCTTAAGGGGGGCCAAGAGAGGAAATTGAGGGTATTCAACTGTAAGGATAAAGCTTTAGGATGATGTATATTATGATTTGTAAATATACATGGAAGACCGTGTTATAATCCTATAAAGTTGGCCTTTATTTTACCTCTCCGAAAAAGACACGAAGTATTTTATTACATTGAGTCACTATTCAGACTTAAACGTAACAGCATGGCTAGAAATTTATATTCTCAAAAAGATAAAATGATCATCTGCTGACACACAAAATTTCAAAGCGGGAAATGCGTAGCGTTGTGGCGCACAAAGCTGCCGAAGCTGCATAATTTTTCATTGTTTCACTAGGTTAGGGAGACAAACGCTATTTAAGCGTATTTTGAACTTTTCGATTTTATGGAGAAAGCAAAGCGCAATAGAACCTTTTGAGATAATTTTTGAAAAAGGTTCATCAAAAGAGTCCTTGAGGAAAAAAAGATGAATTGCGAAATTTTTTAACTGTCGGCGGATTCTCGATATTTTTGGTCAGCGGTTCTTAAACTGTTCCAAAACGTCTTTACAGGCGAAACAGTCCAAAGCAATCGTCCGTGATTTCACCGATTGTCTGCTTTAGGTACATAGGCTAATTGTGCACCGTAGAGGACGTGAACGAGGTATACGATGACTAACCAAGAGTAAGACGTGTTCTTGAACCTTCAGAATATATTTTATTTTCATTACGATCAATATAAAAACTTACTCTATTAACGTTTAGAGCATATATGATGAATTTCATGCAATTCGCGTTCAAATATTTTCCGAAAAATAGTTCCAATCAAAAATATGTGTTCCTGGTCGTGATTTTAAAATTTGCTTGGCTATGAATCGTGTTGCCAATCTTCACCTACAAATTTCACCACCTGTTCAACAGATCCACGATTCAGTTAGAGCACAATGCCTTTTCTTAATTAAGCTATATTCTTCCCATGGAGAAAGACGTGACCCTCGATATGTCTTGCTTATGGCTTCACAGGCTTTAAAATTTCACGCCAATCTAAAATTGAGAGCAGTAACTGAACGACCTATGACCGGAAACGGTACATAGGTATACACAGAATCGAAGATCAGTATAACCAGGAAAGGAAGTCAGTACATCCAGAAACAGAAGTCAATCTGTATCAACATTGAGAAATGTGATCTTCCTTCTAGAACGTCCACTTACAAGGTCTACTGAGTCATCCAAGTCGTCTAAATCCTCTAAATCTCTCGGTCCGATATCGTTCTCTTCAAGTTCGTCCTCAAACATTTCCTGCAACAAGACATCAGCGTTTTTCCTCTGTTGTTTCGGTATCTTGAATCTCAAGCCTGTGTCCATGGCAAGCATTTCCACCGAGGGAAAACCGCCATTGCCAACTGACTCGGTAATATCATCAATGGAAAGAAGAGAGGCAGCCCTCTCTTTGATTGGACACCTGATAATAGAGTGAAATCAGTTATTTTTGCCTATATACACGAGTTAAGGCTCGATAATGAGCCCACGCGCGCGCACGAGAGAGACAGACAGACAGAGGGGGGCAGAGAGTGAGAGATATCGAGCCCTGCATGAGTTGGACTGTGTTATTTGACAAAAAGAGGAAGACCTTCGCTTGAGTCGAGGCATCTCTATGGGCGGGAAGTCGCTTTTCATAAAGATGCAAGCTACGAAGAGACCATAAGATGTCGTGACGATTATCACTGCGGGAAAGCGCTTTTGCGCTTCGAGGCGATGTTGAAATTAGAATCATTTTCACAATACGAATATAAAAATCCTCAAATAAATCCAATTGAAAACTATAAATATAAAGTTTCTCAAATTAACGGCAAAAGGCAGACAGCAACATTTCATTTCTTGTCGTGCTCTCATTGAGCGAATGTATTTCGAAATCTCTTTAATACTCTGAGGGAAATCCTTCTCTGTTATTTAATGTAATCTGCGCTACACACAACTCGTGAAAGCTGCCTTTAGTGTTCAGGATTCTACCCTGGTCAGAGAAAGAAATTATCTTCAAGGCAGGTGACTGTTTGTGAAGATGATTTCCTAGAGATTCCACTGGGTTTACTGTGCAGGCGCTTTAATTGTTGTAATTCCGGCGAGCTGACGATCTGTGAGCACGACCATAAGCCCTAATCTTAAAATTCATTAAAAGTAAGGCAAATTCCAAGATCACCACAAAGAATTTCGATTATTTTTTTTTCATTTCAAATTTCTAACCTGCACCTATTGCACCTGTTTTAAATCTTGCTCAAATTGTGTAAGTAGGAAGGCGCTAATCTACCGAACTCTTCCCTCTTGTCGTTTTTAATCTTATATCGCTAATTGAGTTTATGCACGTAAAAACTACTTTAAACTAGGTCTAAACACCCAACAATCTTTCCTTTACGAAAATGCCATTTCTGGTTCGAAAATAAGTAACAAACACATGCATTGTGCATATACATGCATTGCCACTTCTGGTTTGAAAATAAGTAACAAATACATGCATTGTGCATATACTTACATTCCTACTCCCACGCCCTTTTCTTCTATCTTCTTACTAATAACTGTTTCGATTTTTCCGTGTGTGAATGAGTACTCCAGCATGAAGGCTTCTAAAATGAATGCTACGAATATACTGCGAGGTAATGAGAGGAATGAAGCAATAAGAAAGGGTAAAACACATTTTTACGAAAAAAATCGTCGACAGGATACCAACATGGTATATAGCATACATGTCCAATCAAAACGTCGGTTTGGATTGGACAGGTAATTTAATCCCGATTTCAGAAACCAGACGAGAATCAAGACTCGTTATTCAATTTTGAATCACTTGCAAAGCCAACGTGGCCACATACATTCTTTGCGAGAGCACCCAGGCAGCAACGACTAAGGTGTAATTTCAGGAAGGAAATTACTAAATACCTTAAATCTAAAAATAATTCTCTCAGGATCTCCTATGGAGTGAGACCCTTACAGACAATACAGTCTCCACCAGAGCCAGGCATCATCGTCTCTTGCCAGCTACCAATTAATGCTGAACGTGGTGTTGCGTATGTAGACAAAATTTTTATCATCAAATCGTCATTAGTACTTACTTAAGAACCACAATAACGCAAAGGAGGTGAAACGAGAGGAAATAAAGTCTGGCAAACTTGTTTGTTACTCGAACATAGCCTTGAGTGATAACTGGACCTGAGTTAAGGACAGCTATAATTCCAGCGGCGGAAGTAATCATATCCACGTATACAAACCACCCGGACATACCCCTTTGATTTCCATACAATAACCAGACAAGGATTTTCGCTAGCCCTTTTGGATATGCAAGTGCATTAAAAGTTTTGACTTGGCTTCATCCGGCCTTGATTTTCTATGCCCCGACAAATATGAGCGAACGCATTTTGAAGGCACGGATGCAGATTTTGCTGAATAAAGGCATTTACAAGGCATTTACCAAGTCATGGCAGTCAAGGAATGGGACCCAGACTGATATGATCAGCGTAACTGAACAAGAATGGAACCTTGCATTACTTCAAGGAACACGCAAACTCAGCCGGCCCGTAAAAAACAAAAGTGATTCAAGTAATTACCTTAGATGAGCCTTTTCCTCCAAAGAGGCTCAATGGGTTGGTTTGTACCTTGAAAACTTAACATCGCGGAGGATAAATCGATATCACTACTGACACTTGTGCTTAAAAAACAACTGAACTGTTAAAACGAACCGATGGCAACAAAACGTATAACTTAAAGGATACTATGCCATTGGTTGACAACCATCAGGTCAAACAAAACTTTAAAAGACCTCAGGATGTTGTTGAAGTTGTTATTACAGTAGCGATCCCCGTAAAAGTCTGACCCTTTCAGTTTGATGTTTCCACAAAACGTGAGATTCTCGCCATCAGAACTTTCTTCACCAGAGGTAGGGTAGCTACTTTCCGACTTGATTAAATTTCCAAAAAGTTCCATCCCCATAATGGCGTAGATGTAGTACAATACCTGAAAAAAAAAATTAACTTCTAACTAATCGAGTGTGATGGCCGTACTCGGGAAATAGTTGCGTACAACTGGCCTAACAATTCTCATAACCCAAGAAATGAGTGCGCACAATAGAGAGAGAAATTTAAAAACCGACCGAATAAGTGCATCATACAGCGGACAGAATAGCGTCCTTTTAACCGATAATAGGCCCGTGTTAAAGAATGAATGATGTTGATCATTTCAGTTACAGGGTTGAGGCACAGGTAACACTTAAAGTAATCAATTTAGACAAAACCTTGCGTTCTTAAATTTGTTGGCGAGCATAAGCTCTGACGTGAAATATTTATCGAATGTTTCTACCCTGAGAAAGTACTGACGCAAACTTACAAACATTATGGCGCCGTAAGTGCCCATAGCTGGACCAATCTGCATGACTGTTCCAATTATAACCTGAAATCTGGGAACAAAATCGACCTGTAAATGCAGCAAACATAGGTAACAAAACAGAAAAAAAGTCGGAGAATGGAAGGTGCTTTTAATAAGTTTGTCACAAAAGGACTTCAAATCGTCCCACTTGAATTGGGAAGCTGACCGAAAAGCTTTACGAAAATGTTAGTATGGGTTACGGGCTTATTTACCCGGGATTTGAGATTGAATTGAGCATCGCGTTGGCAGGATTAATGCTTCATAGGATTTTCCGCCATTAGTATGTTCATGGCTAAGAAAACAGGTTTCGCAAGATTTTGTAAATAGATTAAGAAAGATGGTAACTTTTAAGCTCAGTTAATAAATAGAGAAAAATGCTTTTTCGTGTTGTCACGTGCGTGAGACAGAGAAAATATTCCGAGTCCCCAAGAACAATCGAACCTCATGACTCCATCGAAATTGCTGATCTAAGCAGTATGCACGACACGTGTCGTGCATGAACTTTGTTATAGGCCTTGCCCACCATAGAGTCTCTGTGGCTCAGAGGTAGAGCATAGGAGCGCAAAATCCGAAGGTCTGAGGTTCGACTCCTCAGGGGGAATAGAATTTTTTCTTTGTCTCACGCTCGTAACAAGACGAAAAACATCTTTCTCTACGTTTCGCGCTGTTTGAACGGTAAGTGTCGATACAAACCGCTTAATTTGGCCCATAATTTTCACTAATCTGAGAACTCGAAGAACCATCAGTAAATCCAGAACACCTTGACTTGACTGCACTGGGAAGAGAGAGAGGCAAAAACAAACAGTAAGAAGCAAACGAGAGAAAAAAAGAAGAAGAAAGATTTAGCATGATCAAAAACAAGAGTCGAAAACATGTTTCCTCAGTGAGCTATTTTTCGACCACTCCCATTTTCTGAGATTCCAACAGGATATGGAGATCACCAATCCTGTGTCGCGAATTTAGGTCGCTTCATCATCATAAGTGATGCATATTTGTTCCCCACCAAAACATTCGAGAACCTGTTATCACAATAATTCTCCAGGGGTTACACATCGTTTGCTGCCTTGATCTTTCTTGTCAATATTCACAATAATTCGCTTTCTATACGTTACCAGTTTTTGCGGTCTCTTCATTAGTAGCGCGTGCTTGGCACAAGCCTTATCATTACGGATAAAACACAACATATTTTAACTTACAGGACTCGTAAGATGTTTCAATGATAAGAGCCAATGTCGCTGCGCCTATAACTAGGAAATCAAATCTGTAAAACAAACGAGCACCAGGAGAGAGGTTACATGCGATCACCACAAGCAATACTAAAGTAACTGGACTCTGATGGTGCATGAAGAACATAGACAAAAACAATTTTAAGTTATTGGATGGGGCTAAGAATGAAAGACAGAATGGTGAAACTCGAGCTTTGTAACATCAGTCAAAGCCGGAAACAAAGAAATTACTTGATACTTCTTGCTATCTGTAATAAACTGTATTATTACTCTCGATGATCTCTGGGTATGAAACCAGTTCTACGCGCATAAAAACTATTCTCGGTGGGTGTGAGTGCCATAAAGAATAAACTGCACGCTTGTAGCAAATCAGAATTGAGATTGTGATTTCCGCGTATAACAATAAGAGATTTACTTAAAGCACATTACTAACATGTTCCAGTATCGTGAGAAGAATTTCTTAAAGCCATATGTATACAGTTTCAGAAAGATCTCCAAGTTAAACAGTGCTAGGAAGGTCACTTCTGCGTCATCACTCTCCAGAGCGATGAAAATGGCATTGGCGAAAATAACCAAATCGAAGAAATAAACGAAATATCTGCAACGAGAACCGAAAATTAAAAAAAAAAAAAGATTGGGAACCCTAATTTAGTTATGACACATACCCCACCACGCCATAATCTCTTGACCCTTAAAATCCCCAGATGTGATTGTTAATTCTCCCTCGTAGCTGCTACACAATTTCTAGAAAATTAGTTTCGAGAATTTGGTGTAAGATGAAGTAACAAATTTAACCTGATAAATTTGAGTATTCTCATTACCCGTTTGCTGGGTAATGTATGTGTATTATGGAGAGAAGTTATATGTTAACCACCATTAAAAAATTAAAGGTTACTGGATATCGTCTAAAAAATCCGTATTACAACTTAGTTTAGGATTGCTAACCGTTTGCCTCCTGAGGGTGATTTATAAATAAATTCTCCTAACTTGAGGTAAGAGTATATTCTCAATATATCACCGAGAAATGTAAGAGGATTCAAGAGAATGCGCGCTTATATTTTTGTAGCTAAGTTAAACCAAATCGTTCAAAGAGATGAAGCGTTTACGATGTACGGCCATAAATGTCAACCGAATAAGGAAAGTGAACCAATAGGAAATCTGGGTATGAAAAGGATACTAATGGAAAACTCCAAGTCCATTTTCATTTAACCCTTTAACTCCCAGAAGTGATTAACATGAAACTTCTCACTATAATATCCATACATTATTCAGCAAACAGGTGATGAGATTATTCAAACTTATCAGGTAGAAGCTGTTATGGTGATCTAGAACTAAGTTCTCATAGCTAATTTACGTGGAAATGTGTAATAGCTAGAGAGGAGAATTAACAATCAGATCTTGGGAGTCAAAGAGTTAAGAGGTTGAGTAGGTGGGGCGATTTTTATTTTCAATCTAATCATAACCATTACAATTTTCTCAAATGTGATCTGTGCACTAACTGCTTTATTTTTCACTGATTATTTTGTAGAGTTGTAATCGAACAGAGTAATCGGACTGTTGGCTGTAATTGGACAATGTGATCGGACAGTTCAAGCAGCCAATCATATTAAGTCCACTAAGCTTAATCTACCAATCACAGAGTTGATCACAGTAACTACAGCAACAACCACTTATCCTAAGAAAAACTGGGGAATTTCCAAAATGAAGGAATTTTTAATTTTAGACATTATCATCATTTGATGCAGTTTTATTTTTGTTCTAGATGTATTTGTTTTTACCGAAACTGTAACGGTTATGATTAATTGGTAACAAGACTTCGTTTTATCAAATTCTGTCTGTAATCATACTCGTGATTAACAAATTGGACTCCCGCTTCGTGGTCACCCGATTTTGTTAATCACTCGTATGATTACAGACCGAATTGGACTCCACACAGTCCTACTACTATTATCAATCGCTTCTTAAGATCGAAGAAATCTGGAAATTCTCTGTTAGAAATAATTTAATAGCAAGTTAACTGGCCTGTCCTTAGGAAGAGACAAGATCCAAGTAAGGAAGCTTACGCTTTCGCGAAAACTAACATAATTCTTTCACATACTTGTGGCACACGCCCAATCGAATCATGGCACTGATGCGGGAATTGTAAACCCTTGGAATGAATCTCTCGAACAGGTTGACTTGGTCTCTAACTTCAATGACTTTCACATTTAATAGGTCAGCAACCATGAGGAAGTCTTTTTTACCTATAAGCCAAGGTGTAATTTAAAAACATACACAGGTAAAAATTCCCATTAAAAGGGTTTGTTTAACATGATTCAGGGATTTCAAAAATGTTTTCCATAAGCGGCTGTCCCCTATTACACCGGCTAGTGTAATAGGCTGCTGAGCTGTAAGGTGATACCCAAACACAACAGCCTGCTCGCAGGCTCAACAAACAGCGGTAAGATGTCTTACATGCAGCGGTAGACCGCAAGTAGCGACTTTAAATGAAACCCCTTTGAGTGATGGAAAGTGTTAACGGCACTCCAGGGTAGCGCTGAATTTACTTCATCACGCTCTGTCATTGGTATGAGAAACTAACGCCATCTTCTAGACCAAAATGCAATTTGGTGACCTGTGACGTCTTGTCGTATGAATGATTTTAGGTTTGCCTCCTCAACAAATCAAAAGGGCATAATAAAGAAGACCAATGCATTCCTAGATAAGTCTCCTTTGGACTCTCAGTTAAAGGCTGAGGAGGCAGTATGGCTAAGGGGTCTGGGCGCTAGGTTTGTAATCTGGTGGTTCCGGATTCGATCCCTCCACCCTGCTTCGCGCGGGATTTAATTTTTTCTCAGTTGCCCCGAGTTTAACTCGTTTGCTCCACTTTCTATGTAGTCTATGTGGTCTGCTTCCCTTCAAATAGAAAACAGTGTTTTAAAAAACACTGTTGATCATTTACAATGTTTGTCAGTCCCAATTTGTTCGTATTGTCCCGGAAAAGCCCCATTAGGGAATTGGTCAATTTTAACACATACCCGTACACACATCGAAACCTCCTTTAAGTCGATCTTACCTATCTTGCCTTCGTTATTTTCATCAAGCACTTGCCACAACAGAGCGACTCTTGCAGGACTCCACTGAGGACAAACCTCTTTCATCAGAGTCAACCACCTTTTTCGTGTGATGACCCACATCTCATTAGACCTGACTTTCAACACATCAAACGCGTTTTTCAGCTGTCGGCGTTTACGGTAGACTGACGCACGGATTTCATTCTTAAAGAAATGAAAATTATGTGAAAAGATCCAGAATTTTTACAGTAGGCATGACTATCAAACCCACAATAGAATGAATACAAATTAATTTAATTTTTTTTTTGGTATAAATTGAATTTTCATATTTCTGAGAGCGGAACCCTGTCCGTAATCGTTTATCTTTTTCTTTTTTCCATTTATTATAATCATTATTATTATCCTTCTTAATATTACCATTATTACCATTAGATTGTTTTTTGTATGTTACTGTTTGGAACTCGACGCCAACTTCAGAATTTCAGCTAGAAAAATGATCCGGCATAGTGCCAATATGCTGGACAAGTCGAACCAATTCGGAATTGTCAAGGTGAACGTAAGTACATTGTATATCACTTCATTCTAAAACATCTTCCCAGGACCTGCCGTTGTAATAACCCTAGATATATTGTCGATATTATCGCATATTATTTCGTCGCATAAACAAAGCTACTAGACTCAGTGTTCCGCGGTACGATGTGCAGGGAAACAACAAATAGGCCACTAAGGGTTATCACTCAGCAAAGCCTCCCAAAAGTGGCGTTTAGTGAAATGCCAACAAAAAATGGCAAAGAAAGCATTCTTACAAAACTACGCTAACGCATTCATAAATATATGGAGCACTTAACATTGATTTTCAAAAGTAATAAGAATTGAATTGATTTCGTTATACTTTGCGCTAGCTGGTTATGTCGCTCGTGTTTCCCGCGCTACTAGGAATTAACTAGTTTTCTCTTTAACGTCTTATTGGGACCTTGCGATAATCAAACCTTGTTCTGACTGGCCCTCAAGATCACTTAGGTTTTAATTTTACGACTCTCAATCGAAAAGCACCCTACGCTTATATGTTCCTTTAAATAGAAGTTACCTTCATATGCATCCGGTAATTCTTGTAAACAACAGCAAGAAAAATACTGACAAATATGTACATACAGACGACAATGAAAATAACAAAGAACAAACTGGACCAAGCATTGTTATCATAGGCTGGCATCCTGTGGAAGTAGATTTTAAGAATAAATAACCTGTGGCGTTAGCCGGCTCTCATGCCTATCTCCAAGAATCGTCGGGGTTATTTTTTTTTTCCTTTGGTCGTTCTCTCTACATTTCTGTTAACGATGTAATCTGTTTTGAATCCCGTTAGTGTAATGTAAATTAAATGGTTAATAGACTTCTTTTATCTACAAGTACTTCTTCTTAATTCCTATAGACAACTAAAGGGAATGGAACTGGAACTGGAACCAATCACCTTGTGTAGAAGTTAGGGGTGTATATATCTATGGGACGGTTTTCAAAAAAATAATAAAACCACTTTTTAACTCTCCAGTTTTGCTTGGCAAAGACAGGAGGAAAAGGAGTTCTTAAAAAGAAAGTGGCAGGTCTTCAGGAAATTCATATTTGGTCTTTCGCGCTCACAAAAGAATAATTTTATTTCTCGAAGCAAACCCACTTTTATCAAAGATTAACCCTTTATATCCCAACCTCAGTACGCATATTCTCCATACTGTTTCTTATGCAGTTCCTAAGGTGCTGACAAGGAGAATTTGTTTGACAATCAAGAGCTCCTTTAGTTGGAGATCATTTCCCTTTTTCTCGTGACCTTTATGAACGATTAGACGCTTTTTTCTCTTCAAAGGTTAAAGGGTTACAACCGCTACAAATCTTTGAAATAGATATTCTACAAAAACAATCCATTTGCTTACACTCGTAAATTATAGGTAAAACGCAACTAAGAATAAAACTCACGTTACATCCGGATTGTTGGCTGTTGTTGTCAGAACATACAGTTTAAAATACACGTCGAAATAGTCCGTGAAATACGGTTTTCCGTGGAGGTCTTTCAGATTCCTGCATATATAAATTGAAAACAAAGTCGAAAGTCAAAAGCTCAAACTTTGAATGGGGCACTAGCGTGTTACAGAAATCGTAATAGCGTTAGTCACGTTGTAAGAACGCAAATGCATTACGAATACATTGCACAAGAAGAAGAGCCAGTGCTGGGTAATGTATAAGAGCCAATGAGAACTCGAAGTAAAACCAACCAAACTACCTTAAGCGCGGGAAAACGCGGGCGACCAAGTCGTGAGTGGTACGAGTTTTATTGACCAATCAAAGAGCAAAGAAAAACAAAAGCAAATAATCCCGGTCTACTTTTGACATTCAAGTAAAAAATGTTCTATGGATAATTATGTTTGTACCTTTTACCAAATAGCTTAAATCCAAGCAAAGTAAATAAGGCAATCAAGAGTGACAGAAGAACCAGAACATTAGCTATCTCAGGCAGAGTTTTTCTAATGTTTCTTACAGCTCTACGAATCTAAAAGAGACAGACAAGAAATAATCAAAAAGTGAAGAGCAAGCAATCAATTTTGACACTCTGTATAATAGTCTTCTCTCCTACACCCTAATATCAGTATGCATATTCTCCATAGGTGTTGACGAGGAGAATCAACAATCCAAAGCTTCTTTGGTTGGTGACCATTTCCTTTATTCTCATGGCCTTAATGTGTGATTTAGGGGTGATGTTGTAAGGAGATTTTAGATGCTGGTCACTCTTAGGGGGTGAAAGGGTTAATAAGTAAGGTACTAGTCATGAAATGTTCAGAATTTCTTATTGCTGAATTTCATGAGGTAATAACAGAGATATTTTCAGGGTTGGAAATAGCAATTTGAAAACTAGATACCTTGGACAGATACCACATATGTATGGAACACAGCTGACTTCCACTTGTGATGGTAATTTTAAATATTAGTTTTATCATAAATTACTATGCAATAAAACTCACGTGTCTTCCTTCGCTGATATTGATGAGAATAAGTGGGCGAAGAACTCTTGTCCATCGCATGGTGTGAACTGGGAGTTTTGATTCTTTGAATATGACATACATAATCATGTCAAGAAAAGTCAGCTGAAAAAAAATTCCAGTGAAGGTCTCTGAAAGGTGATATCTATAAAGAATTTAAGCTTACATGTCAAAAATGACTGGGAAAAGGTATCTGGAGTAATACTATACAGTCAAACCTTTATTAAATGATAACCCCCTGGGAATTATGGGGTGTCTGCTTTGTACAGGTTGACCACTACATACACTGTTCCATAAAAGAGGGGTAAAATGCAATTTAAAAAAAAACACCATTTTGTCCTAACAGTCTTAAGAAGGAAGATAATTTGCAATACATTGAAGACATTTCAATTCAAAGCACTAACATTGACTATCAGGAGATAAACATGGAAAAAAAGTTGACTTGAGAGACCATACTTAATTTTACTTGAATGGTTAAGCTTTAAGGGACAGTTCAATACAGGTGGAAGACAATGCAAACAGGCTGTTGGGACTTAATAAAGGTTGACCACAACTGCTTAATAGGGAAGATTGATATGATACAGGGAAATATAATGCAACTACAATTTATTATCCCCATTATCCTCTTTCTCTGTGGGAAATGACAGTGCTAACAGTGATTAGCAATCAGAATACTATTTTCAAATGATTAAATTAAGACTACAATAGAACAATTTTTCCGATTCTATGTTCTTAACTTTCTTAATGTCAAAGTAATATCTACTTGTTTATTTTCTGATTGTAAACACTAATTTAAAGTCATTTCAATTCCTCTGTCTCACCACAATGATAGACAACATTATCACATTTTTTTTGTCTCTCCAAAATTTCACACCAGCAGCAAAACACCAGACATGGAACAGACGAAGAATGAAAACAAACAGGCAGATATATTCGAGTAACATTGTAGCCTGCAAACAAAACAATTAGGATGAATGAGTTTATTGAGTTACTGAATGTAGTCATTGTAACTGGGTTGCCTGTGCCAGCACAACCCTAAGGCATTTTGGGAGAGTGAGCATTAAAGATGGCAGACTGAACAAGTTTTCTTATTTCTCTGTATATAATCCACCTGCACCAAGGACTTGTTTGTAATACAGACATTACACTGACAACATTTAATTCCTGGATTACACCGTAAAATTTCACCTTTCCTGGATCATTGTACTGTACGAGATAACTGAGAAAAGAGGAAGAGGCCTTCTTAATGTAGAAGCTAAAAGATTCAGGTGTCACATTCAATCCAATGAAATCAATCATGAGCATAAGTCCATGTCAGAAAGATTGGAGTAGCCCTGTGACATTCATGCATGGGGAAGGAGATACCTACAGGAAACCCCTTACTAGGATAGCATAAACCAGTTATCACACTGTTTGTCCAGCCATTCAGTTGAGTATCTAACCATTAACTAACACAAATGAGGGAGTGGGAAACTAATGGTTGATCAGTCTCCGAAGGCTTAAGGTGGTACCAAATTACTCCTGTACCTGTATGAATGGGTCATATGGTAATTGTGCCGAAGGCTTAAGATCTATACCCCTACCTCAAGAATGTGGGTATCTCTAATCAGCAGCATTATCTGAAGTGCAATTTTGCCTAATTTAAATTCTGCTGCTGATAAATAACTCATGATTTAATCTCAAGTGACTTACCCAATATGGCAGAGTCATTCCTTGTACAGCAGGTTCCTCAAAAAATGCCAAACAGAGATTAAGCCACACACAAAAGTACACTAATGCTCGCAATACTGGCTTGTTGTAAATTTTGTAAAGTCTATGAGAGTGAAAAAGAGATTGATTCATCAACTCATTGTGTGTACTGTGATTAAAATCAACAACGGCACCTGAACTCCACCATTATCTTCTATGACAAAAGGGAAGCAAGGCAAAAGGAACTTCATGCTTGCAAAGCCTAATGGCTAACAATTGATAAGTTTGTATGCTGATCAGAAAATCTGGGTCAGTTTTTTCCAGCTGAGGTCCACTGGTATTATGCTGGTAGGTTTCTTCACTATGGTTCTTATTACAGGAAGTTTACCATACTGCCCAGAAGTAATGGAAACAAGAGTCTAAAGTTATCACGAAAAACATCCATTATCAACATCATTTGATTGAAGTAGGGCCAATGTCATGCTTTCTTGAATTTGACAGTACACAACAAAATGGCATTTAAAATTGCAATAAGGTGTTGTGTGCGAAGTGGTCACACTAGAATGACTACTTGGGTTTTATTCAAAGTTCTTCTCCCCTCTGCAGTTAAATAAAAATCAACAAATGCTAAATGGAGGACTTCAAAGCTATTGTGGCAATGGGTGGGGTACCTTCACCCAGTCTGAAGAGAGGAGTACCCCTCAGAGGAGTACCACTCCTCACCCCCACCCCTGGTCCCTCCCAATTTAGGTTCCTATTCAGTGTTACAGTAACAGATGTGATAAAATAGCTAGGAAAAGCTTGTTTTTATTCACAAATGGTCACTCGGAATATATCGATATAAGAATACCTCAATGTATCCAAAACGTAAGGTAGCAGAACGAAATCATAAAATATATAGTAGATCTAAATTACACTAAATAAAATTTGCATAGGTAAATAATTAACAACAAGCAGCTTTTTAGAGATGAAAAAAAATATCACTCAAAACGCACTATTCTGTATAGGTCAAGTGGACAAAAACCTAGTTTTAAACGAGAGAATTCTTCCACGATGAGGACACTGAGCGAAAGAGAAAAGGTGCGATAATTTTGGGACATGAAGTAAACAAATATACTACAGAATTTTGTATGAAAACATCAAGCTAACCTTAATTCTTTCGGAGAGGTCTTAAAGTAACCATTTCGACCGAGTCTAGCCTCATTCACCAATATTCCAGCCAGCAACAACTCCTAGGAGACAAAAGAACCCATCAAATATTTATAAGCTCGTGAAATTCACAGACCGTGGAAGATAAACAACAAATGAACCAGTCAAATATTCATACCGTCTCACTAAGTTCGCTGTCTTCATTAAGACGACTTGAATCCTCCTTAAGATCAATGTTTACTAACTCTGATCCCGTTATGAAGCTAACTGATCGGCTCTGTGCTCGTAGTGACTTCAAAATCTCCTCTTCATCTTCCGCTGCCATTGTGCCAGGCGAGCGAGGCGCGAACTCGTTACTAAACACCGCGTGACAAGCAAAAGAATGAGGTACACGTACCTGTATTACAAGATACACAAGCGAACTGTTTTCAGAGTATTGATCGATAAAAATAAAAACAAACAAAATCTCCGTGACAAAAATAGTATATCTACTCATTCAAATAGTTGGATTTGCCTTTCTGGTTTTATTTTCAGTTTTGGAACACTGTGTCCGTATTAACGTTACTTTTATCCTCCCGTTTTGCAAGGTTGCGTGACAAACACGAACTGACTCGCATCTAAGTCTAAAGGTTTCTCAAAGCTGTTTTGTTAGACGTTGTTTCATTTTTTCATTACTTTTCTTTTCATAGAAGTTTCTTAAACCGATATTTTTCGACTTCGCATTAAGCACGTTGATATCGATATCATATGTTAGTGACTTCCTGAATCCTTCTTTATCCGCAGTTCACATGTATATAATGTTCATATACTTACAGTTATTAATTCATCACTTCACGGGTTTATTTGGAACCAACATAATGACCAGCTCCCAGTTGGTAGAGCACTTTACCAGTATCGCAGAGGTCATGGGTTTAAATCCCGTAATGAATTTTTTTCAGGCCTTTGCTTTGTTCAAGTAGGGTTCATTACTGCGAAGATCGCTTTCATATTCACCTCGCAAGTTTTAAAATTACGTTTTTCAGTTCTCTGTTTCTGATGTTGATAAAGTTAAGCAAAATTTAACTAAACGTGTGTTGTTGATGTGAATAGGGAATAATTAGGTACAAGATAAGATTACGGAAACATTAATTTTCTTCTGTCAGGTTTAAATGATTTTTTTTTTTTTTGCCGTTTTACTTAACGAGTATGACAATGGTTAATGAGTATAAAGACTTCTTTTTCTGCTTCGTATTCTTATTGAACATCGCCCAGAGCACAAGCGGAGTAAGACCCGAGTAAGAGCCACGGGATTTAACAACTTAAGCCTTCACACCCTACCACCAGGTATGCGTTTCCTCCAAACAGTTTTTTATACATTTTTCCCAAAGTGCTTCAAGGACGAAGAGACCATTCAAAAAAGTATATACTGAGCTTCAAAACAATGACAGCTCCTCTCAGTAGGGGAGGTAAGTTTCTAAAGAAACTGTGGTGCTACGTCGATGGGAGAGTATAACAGCGATAATTTAGTATCATCAACTGAGTTGATAACGTAAATTGGATATTGTAAAGAGTTTCAAAGTTAATGTTTCGAACGTTAGCCCTTCGTCAGAGCGAAGGACGAAAGGCTAACGCTCTCTGACCGCGAAGTGGCTAATGTTCGGGATTCAAATCTTGGTTTAAATTTTAAAGGGGTTTAGCTTAGTTCCAAGCAAGTGAAAAAATGTAATTACATTTTTGATTTCTTTTTTAGACCTCGAAAGGAGATCAATAAATCATGAACATGAGAGTGATCATGAGTACCTCTTAAAAAGTAAGGAAAATACCTGAATACCTCTTAAAAAATGAATACCCCTCAAAAAGTAATAAAAATGAAGCCTGAAAAAAACATTCATGCTTGAAGGGAGTTGAAGCTCGCGATTAATCCGCAGTTCCAATATATCGCATTCAAATATTCGCAGTCATCAACAATATATATCGCATTCAAATATTCTCAGTCATCAACAAATCAGTTGGTGCTTCATAGTACTATGGTAAAATTGCACATAGGAAAACTTCAGTTCATTAGATTTAGAGGGTATTGCATCGAAGTACGATAGAAGCTCTCTACGAACTCCAAATTAAAGAGAAAGGGCTCTGATTAGAGTTCTTTAAATGACGCCACTATGGCGTTGCTATTATGACAGATCTCAAAGAAAGTTTCATAAAGCTGAAAACAGTATTGAGAAGACGGCTTACTTTTTGGTATAAATATTGAGATACTACTGCCTAACAAACGAACAAAAGATTCTGTACTGAACATGAAAGAAAAGCTATAGTGACTAAAAACGTGGATTGATAGCCTTTCAGAGCAACGAATTGTAACGAGAGTAAAATATTCATAAGTATTGCAACTTGATTTAGAAGTGAAAGTGTCAGTCGTCAAGTATTCATACATTCACTTTGCCACTTAAATTGTGTCGGTAATGTCTATACAGTAGGAATGAGTGATGACTTCCTTCGGTTTGGCATCAGAGAACGACCAATATTTAGTCAACATCTTCCACTGAATTCCTTAACCACACAACCGAAGGAACGCAGAATCTGGAAGGCTGGTAGGTATAACGCTTAAGCAAACACGCATGTGTATATGCTGATTTCGTCTCGCCCAGTCAGGTTGTAGAGTTTTTTACATGGTTTCAAAAGTGGATCTTGCTTTTTTACCTTTTACATAAACGCACAAGATTTCAACGCGTTTTTTTATTTTTTTTAATTACACCTATGATGGAGAAGAGGTCGAACCTCACCGCTGAATTGAAAAAGCTGAACTGAATTTTAGATTCTTTAAACGTCTTAAAAACAATTTAAACAACTTGAACCAGAACGTATTCTCGACGTTAAATTCTTCTATGATTTCTATGGAACTAATTTCAGTAGCTGTTTTGTTTGTCTGTCTGTTTGTTTGTTTGTTTTTCTGTTTTTCGTTTCTCTACATCTTAACACTGACTAATGAACGGTTAGAATTGAAAAAAAAGTACTGAAAACAACACACAATATAGATGCAAACAGAAAATCTAAATGCTAACAAGTGCAGGTTATAACTCATTGACCGCGAGGGCTCTCAGAAGGCACCTTTTTAACAAGAAAAAATTAAGTTTGGAAACACGTAGCGAAAACTGATATTTCGAAATCATGAATCATGATTTCTTCCGCTACTAATTCCCGCGTCAAGAATAAACCGCGCTTGTTTAGCTCATGTAGCTCATGCTGTGGCCCGGGAACACCGGAGTAACCTGCGGGAGGAAGTCAGAGGTTCAAGCCTCAAACCGGACCAACACTTAGGGTCTTAAAATAACCGAGGAGAATGTGCTGCCTTTGCTTTGACATCGGCAAATGGGGTTGGACATTCTAGTCTTCTCAGATAAGGACGTAACCCGCAGGCTCCGTCTCCTGTCTCTTCTCTGTACTGGTTAGCAAGGGACGTTAAAGAACCCACACACTCCTCGCATAGAGTAGGATGTAGAGTTCCCGGTGTTGTGGTCTTGCCTCGTCCCTGTTTACCCATGCAGGCCCCCATTTAAAGCAGCGCTGAGCTGTACCGAGTCTGTCTAATTATCGCAAACTGATATACATACACACAAAGGATTCGCTTGAAAACACCACCGTTCAAAGCCGGCATTGTTTCCTTACTTTAAAAAAGCCTCGGGGACCTTATCTATAAGGGGTCTTTCATTTACCAAAACAACTGAAACCTAACCTATTGAATTATGCGTAACCGAGTGCTAGGTCTGGTAGACCACGCTAGCTCGATTCGTTCAGTGAACGTTTTCGTGGTAGATTTCTAGTCTTACAGTTTATTTACGGTTTTACGGTTTTTACGGCTTTATGGTCATTGTTACGGATAAAAGGACTAGAAGATGTTTCCCAAGGTTGAAAGGACACAGATGCAAGTTTTCTGTTGATTTCATAATCATTTGTGTCCTGTGATTTCTGCTTTGATAGTTACAGCACTCGGCCTATTGTAATTCTAGGTTTTGCCTTTCTGTTTTCCTAGTTTTCGTTATCTCATCTCGCCTCGTCTCGCCTCAATAGATTAATGTGATTATGCGAATGCATTTGGATGGAAATATACGAGTGTTACGACTCTCTGAATAAACAAGTTGCTGTTTTATGTGTAATCTTCGTTCGCCTTTGCAAAGGGCCGCAGCAATCATAGCGAAGGCAGTTCTGCGACCACACTTATCCTCCAGACACGCTGAGTGGCTACCAAAGTTATTGCCAAAATTCAGTAATATCACACATAACAATTGGTTCATTTGTCAGCGTGCGTTCATCGAGATATGAAGCACGCGGGAAGTTTGGAGAGCACTAAAGATGCGTAAGAGTTGCTCGAGGCGTAGCCGAGAGCAACTCAAGCTTCTTGAGTGCTTTCCAAACTTCCCAAGTGCTTCATATCTCGATGTACGCACAGCTGACGTATGAACCAATTGTTTTATAACATTTTCAACCGAAAGGAAAATTTTTTTCTCGAGGGAAAACTTTTGGTTGACAAAGGCCACGTTTAATGTCTATGGCTAAGTTACTCTAAAACTTTGCGTAATCTGTTTAGAGCAGATTTAAACATTTCAGATGGAGACTCTGTCTGTAAGAACAGATTGAAATGTATCCGGCGGAAATCACGCACCGATTTGTTCAGACACGTGTGCGCCAAAGGGAAAAAACTAATGCCAGCAGCCTATCAAACTACAAATTCAAATAATAACCTACGAGCAGATACAGTCTAAATTGATTGCCAGTCATTGTTATGAGATTTCAGCCAACCGAACAGTCACGTACTTGCTTTCAAATTGCCGGTTTGTATAAACAACCTTGATGACCTTGTTTGATCATGACGCAAAGAGCCAGTAACCCGTAAGTTTTCTCACAAGAAATACTCGCAGCCATACTGAATACAGTTTTAACTTCAAGGCGAAACTGAAAAGGGAAGTTTCCTGTTAACAAATGACAGACAAACAGTAAGATTAATGGATTGTCCTTTTAATTTGATAATGTTTCGAGCCCATATTCTAGAGTGTCAAGAATTTTTTTTGTACTCACGGTACTAGTACTGTTGGGTTGATCAGGTACTCTCTGTCCACTTCGAGAAAATATGCACTCTCAGTAGCCGCCAAAATTTTTGCGGTAGAATGATAAATTGGGGTCTTTAAATCGCAATTCGTTTATAAAGCTTTCTTTCTATGTTTTTCGTGTTTGTCGATCGAGACAGAGCTATTGGAGCTTAAAAAACGGAAATATGCTAAACAAGACTTGATTTTGAAAACTGTCGACATCCAAATCTTAAAGCGACGAAATAAGCTTGGGAGCTTAATAGCGATATGAATTGCGGCGTGAAAATGAGACCTGAAGCGAGTTAAAAGAACAACGGCTCTTATGAATTTTATATAAATAGGATCATTTTCATCTTTAAGGTGAGAAACCACTGGAAGTACTCAGTTCTCTGACGACGAACGTAGACTACACCTGCTGAGTAAACCCAACATTATGGCAAACCAGAAACAGCTTCCTCCTTTTTTCCCTACCGTAAAGCTCAACGTCGGTGGCCAACACTTCACAACAAGCCTCCGAACGCTTAAAAAAGATCCAAACTCAATGTTGGCAGCCATGTTCTCTGGAAAATTTGAAATGAGACCCTCTGAAGACGGTGCGTTCTTTATCGACCGAGATGGAACTCACTTCCAGGTTATACTCAATTATCTTCGCATTGGAAAACTGACTTTGCCGGCGAATGCAGTCAATCTCGGAGAGCTTGAGGCAGAAGCAAACTTTTATCAAATTCAGGGCTTAATGGATGAACTGAAATCCAAAGTATCATTCCAAGAGTCGGAAATTGTGAGAGTAGAAGATCATCGTAAATTACTGAAACGCTGGCTTCCTGATCAAGGAGCTGAATGGCATCTCCTATTCCGAGCTTCGCGAGATGGCTTCACAGCTCAAGCCTTTCATTCAAAATGTGATAACAAAGGACCTACGGTTACCATTGTTAAGAGTGGAGATAACATATTTGGAGGCTTTACGGAGATTTCGTGGACAAGTAAGTTCACAGAGAAGGTTTTTTATAAGTAAGGGACAACTTCATCTTCAGCTTAGTGTCGATTAACCAAAGCAAACGAAATCGTAACCATAAACCAGAAAACTAGCTAGATATCAGTTCGGAAGAATAAATAATACTTTTAGATTAAACATGATGTTTTCAACGGGAATTTTGAACCGTTAGCCGTAAAACTGCCAAAAAATTTAGCCGTTTGGTGTAAAATTGACAAATTTTATCCATTAGTTGTAAAAAAAAAAAAGTTAAACATAAATTTGTTTTCTGGTGAACACAATGGAAATAGGTTAATTGTTAGCTGTAAATTGTCCAAAATGTAAACCGTTAACGGCAAAAGCCATCACCCCACTGAGACCCTCAATCATGCACATGCAGGCAGCTTACTCCAAGCGTTGAGAAACGTGTGAAAACCTCTAACAGTGGAAATTTTTTTGTTATTCAATAATCAAACGGAGTTTTGAAGTGTAAAGCATCAAAAATTAAATCATGCAGTTGATCAGTTTAAATATTTTTTCTTTCGGATTAAAAATCGAAGGAGAATGAGTAAAAACTGATCTTGTAAATCAGCGTGAGTTTTTAGTCAGAGATGTTTTCAGAATTTTTAAGAAAGGTCTTGTCTGACAACAAGAGCAGAATTTGAGGGCAAGTCTGGGTGTTTTATTTACAAGAATTTCACTTATGCATAACCTTTACACTCTAACATCAATATGCATATTCTCCATACTTCTCTCTGAACATTTCCTAAGGTGCTGACAAAGAGAATTTGTCAAACAATCAAGAACTTATTTAGTTGGTGATCATTTCCTTTATTCTCATGACCATAATGTTTGATTCAGGGTTGATACTGTTGGGAGAAATTAGATGCTAGTCTCTCTTAGGGGTCAAAGGGTTAAAAAATAGGGAGATACTACTCCATGTAAGACCATATCTTGGTATGCCCTTAAAAATGTCAAACTATTTTCATTCCTCTCCTATAGGTCAGTGTCGCTGGGTGCCTTGTCGTGAGTCATTTCTGTTCAGCTTGGTAAATCCACACGGTTTGGGTCCAATCAAAATTGCTGAAATCAAGAGCAGAGAAAACGCCATTTTCTGCAACAACAATTGTGGACCAACATTCGGTGGCTGGTACAACCTTCACATATCAAGAAATGCGAACGAGACCAATTCTAATTACAGTAACCTCTCTCGCTCGTTCAATTTCCTTTCTGACACTGACTTGTCTTTAACAGGAAGCAAATATTTTTCTGTCACGGATTATGAGGTTTTTGGAACTTGAAACTTTCAAACTTTAGGATCGAACATGGCGCATATAGACATCTTCTCAGTCTGATGGCTTTTAGCTCCAGTTGTCTGATCATTTAAAGGCAGTGAATCCTCCATTCTTTTTATTAAATCGTTCATGAAAAAATATGCCTTAAACGGCTTCACGTATAACGATTAAAAACTTTGGAAGCGATGCACGTGTTTGAAAAAGTGCTGCCTTTTTTTTTAACAAATGTGTAAAAAATATAATAAGTCTAAAAATCTGAAACCTTTTCCGTGTAATATATAGATTTAGCCAAGCCTAAAAGCGGAGCTCGCATTTTTTTCTTCCTCACGTCTTAAGGGCACAACGCCCTGCCCCGGCCAGGACTAGAACCCAGGTCGTCCGACTCGGAGCCCAGTGCACTCACCACTGGACTACTGGACAAAGCCGTGGCGCTGGCGTGCCCGCGGTACAGTTGACCACGCATGTTAAAAGTAGCACCTTGTACGATCGTACATCCAAATTTTTTCGGCTTGATGGGTTACTTCTTTTTTGTATAATTATGGGGCTACGCTCTGCGAGCTCCGCTATAACTTCAAGTTAGTTATAGACCTTGCCAAACAAGCGAGCCCGAGACAAATAAAATTATGAGTCTCTCACGATGAATAAAATCCAAAGTCTACCAATAAATATCAGGAACTCTTGCTATCCCACCTACGCATTGTTATTCCAGTTATTCAACCGAGAAAATTATACATGTACCAAGAGAACATAAGTTTATATTCCCTTACATGTAAATCAATATTATGCGTTTGTTCTAAAATTGTGGGCTTTTCCGTCGACAGGAGTCCGATTTGTCAATCACGAGTATGATTACAGACAGAATTGGACGACACGAAGTCTTCTGGAAAAAAAAAACATTTAGGACAAACATTCCCTTTAGGGACAATGTCTGAAGCAAAAAATTTGGAAATTTCCTAGTTTTCTTTCCAGGGTAAGTGGCTGTCGCTATGGTTATTGTGATCAATTCTGTGATTGGTATATTTAGCTGAGTGGACTTAGTATGATTGGCTGCTTCAACTGTCCGATTACAGGTGTCCAATTACAGCCAACTGTCCGATTACACTGTCCGATTATAACTGTACATGAATGAAGTGGTAGGGAACAACAGCAGTAACAAAAAGGAACTTCTTACGTCAATTTTATCAAACAGCAAACCTTTTAGCAATATCATCCACAACAATTTTATCAAAGTATTTCAAGCAAAGAGGTTATCTTAATGCCTCTCAAATTTTTACTCCAAGTACCTGGAGGAATGGATAACCGTAAATGCCTCCGAAAATACTACGTTAACTTTATTAAAAACCTTAAGGTTTTAGCTTCCAAACGATACCAACTTAAATGTGTGGGATAGCTCTCAAAGCTTATCTCAGTTTTTATAGTATGGACAACATAATCATCCAACCTGGAATGCAAATTTTTGAAGCTTACCTACAGAGTGAAATAAAGCTATCCAAAGCTATAGTCTAAAGCAAGAGCCTGTCAGAAAATTTTGAGGTGTTTAATTTCCTTCTATCAAATATTATTAATTTGATTTATTTAATTAAATCTACTTAATTGATTTTCAACTTGATTAATAATTTTCAATTATTATTTCAATCCAATTATTTGTCTTCCTCTTCTTTTGTTGATGTTTTTGTTGTACAGTGGGAATTCGAAGTTAGCTAAAAATACCAGTTATGTCCGTTGATAATAGTATTCGAGGAAGTTTGCCTATTGGATGATTTTCATCGCAGTGCATCTCTCAATCTTCTTCCAATCGAAATTCAAGCTTTCAAGCTTGTCATTTGAAACCTTTGTTCCTCGATTTTGGTTCATTCTTGCTTCTGTGATGTTAGCTCCAACTGAAAATCTGTTATCCATGTGTTGACTTCACATAAACTTCAACTTTGTAGCATAAATAAATAGGTAGACAAATAAGTTTTCATCAGAAAGCTGCTTCAAACTGTCTGTAAGACAGTCATCCGTCCAAGAGGGAAATTGGTTTGTGGCGAGAGCCAAGTAAAACTCCGTTTTGGATGGAGATCACAGTTTAGTCACTGTCTTGTAACGGGAGCCTCGACTGAAAATGTAACGTCACGCTGTTATAAAGATTGCGTTACTCTTAACTTTTCATTTTGCGACAATATCATATTGTAATTTTTTGTCAACAGTTTCGCTTTCATTACCGCGTGCTGCACAGGAACAACTTGAGTTCTTCCTTTGTTAGAACATGAGTGAAAGTAACCTTGAAGAAGGCAGTAACTCAAACAATCAAGTTTTTAAAGACGCTGAAAATCAAATCAAAGAGGTCTGTGAAGTACTGCAAAGAGAAGCAACAAGACTTCGTCAGGAGCAAGAAGCAATCGACGCCATGACGAAGAAAATAGATCATGTCCACCTTACTTCGACAATAAACCTCAATATTGGCGGCCGCCGCTTCACGACAAGTCTTCAAACCTTGACAAAGGATCCAGACTCCATGTTAGCTGCTATGTTCTCCGGGAAGTTTGAGGTGAAACCATCAGAAGACGGAGCTTTCTTTATCGACCGAGATGGCAAACACTTCCGGTTTATACTAAACTATCTCCGCGACGGAGAGCTGATTGTACCAGAAGGCGCCACATTTCTTAAGGAACTCGAAGCTGAAGCTAAGTTCTATCAGATTAAAGGGTTATTGCGGGAGCTTAAGGATAAAATACAAGAGTGTTTTGAAAAATCAGTGATACTGATGAATGAAGAGCACCGGAGCACGCTTAAAGCTTGGTTGCCTCCACAAGACGGCAAATGGAAGCTTCTGTTCAGAGCTTCTCAGGATGGTTTCACAGCTCAAGCCTTTCACGGCAGATGTGACAACAAAGGACCCACGGTTACCATTGTCAAAAGCGGAAACAACATTTTTGGAGGCTTCACGGAAAATTCATGGCACAGTAAGTATATAGATTAATTCAACACTTGGCATGGTAGAGTGAGTGGCTGTGTAGGGAGGAGGGGGAGGGAAGAGGGAAGTAGTTGAGATCATCGCCGTTTAAAGTTTCCTTTCTGATGATTTAAAACTGCTTTAAAATGTTAAATTTGGACATTATTCCAAAATTTGTCTCAATTGTATGTTTGATTTTTCTTTTCTGAAACAGGTCAGGGTATTTACGTGCAATGCTTAAAGTCATTCGTATTCAGCATGGTGAATCCGCAAGGAATGGCTCCGAGAAAAATGCCTCTTGTAAAAAATCAGCAAAATGCCATTTACTGTAATAGCGACCGTGGACCAACGTTTGGAGGAGGGCATGACATATATATATCAACTAACGCAAACTCAAGTGGTTCAAGTTACAGTAATCTCGGCCACACGTATCAGCTTCCCACCGGACAGCAGAACACATTCTTCACGGGAGCTCGAAATTTAAATGTGACGGACTACGAAGTCTTTGGAATCTGCTAATGACAGCCGTCACAAACATTTCAGAAACCAGCTAGTTAAACTTCACAATAATTTGAACGATCTTCACGGTTATAACTTTTTTTGAAAGGTTAACTTTTATTTTCATTTATTTCATCAAAAAGCATTATTTACATCTGTCCGAAGCCATAAAGCAAAGGACAAGATTCCCGTATAAAACCATACTACACCATCAGACTATGTCTATACGGAAATCTTTTCGAGCAAAGTTCCACACTTCGTTACACATACTGTTATTAGATAAAGAAAAGCAATGGCAACACAGTAGATTTCCTTTTCATTTGGGAGTACAGCTTCGTTTTACTGCATAGTATTGGGTTATACGGAAAGCTTTCCAGTTGTTTGGCTGACGGAAAAGAAGCCGTCACAAGCACTGATGCAAAATCTGTTCAACACTGTTATTTATGGAGGATAGCAGGAGCCATTCAATACAATTAATTCCTCAGATAATAAGTGTGTAGATAAGCCGTAAACGATCCAATCATTCATAAACTTTTTTCATTTGTGCACTCGTTTCACCGATGGAAAAGAGCCGGATGAAATAAAGCAAACAAAACTAGGATTTGGTAGGCCGTTCTTCATGGAGCTTAATAAATATACTGTTGACTTGACGGTGGTGTATCCAAGCGAATCGCCAGACTTTCGATTACGATTCTTGCTGTAAGAATAAAACTTTAAATTTATGAAGCTGTTTATATCATCGGACGAATGCTGCCTACCGCACTGATTGTGATTCAAATGGCGGACATGAGATATAATTGGTGATAATAACCTAAATATGACCGCTGTTTGACATCTCGATGTTTTCTCAAACATAATAATCTAGAAAATATTCGTTAAGGTCATGTGAGGGAACAAAATAGCATAATGTGAACATTCTTGCGTTCATAGTTTTCGTGCTGATAAGTAGCTATAAGTGACAGGCGCAGTTCTTTAATAAATAACATCTATAAATCAAATAAGGCATGTTCTGAAAGTGTTCTTTCACTGAGCTCTTCGCATTTGTAAATCTTGAGATAAGAACGGTGACTGAAACCGTGTTATTGAATTAATTTAAATGTTTCAAACGTGTCACGCTATTGCAAGTCACGCATCTCTTGTCTTGTTGACGAACGACCACGCATTTATTCTTCGTTTGAACCTGACTTACTACTTTGAGACAACATTTCAACATTTGTTAGTTCTCGGGAAAAAGGTAGGGTTAAAAAAATTCTTATGGAAAGTAATTCAACAGGCAACCAAGTTCTCGAAGACACTGTAAATAAAGTCAGAGAAGCCTGCGAGGTATTACAACGAGAAGGAACAAGGTTTCGCCACGAGCAGAAAGCTATCGACGCCATGTCGCAAAAAATGGAGCACGTTCATCTCTCCTCAATTGTAAACCTCAATGTTGGCGGCCGCCGTTTTACAACAAGTCTGCAAACGCTGACAAAAGATCCAGACTCGATGTTAGCTGCGATGTTCTCCGGGAGGTTCGAGGTGAAACCATTAGAAGACGGAGCTTTCTTTATCGACCGAGATGGCAAACACTTCCGGTTTATACTCAACTATCTCCGCACTGGGAAATTAACTTTACCAAAAGGAGCAACATTTCTAGACGAACTTGCGGAAGAAGCTGAGTTTTACCATATCCAAGGGATTCTAGACGAGTTAGCATCTAAAGGCCCGGAATATTTTGAAGAATCAGTGATTCTGACGAATGAAGGACACCGAAGCGTGTTGAATGGTTGGTTGTCTTCACAAGAAGGCAAATGGAGGCTTCTATTCCGAGGTTCCCGAGATGGCTTCCAAGCTCAAACGTTTCACTCCAAATGTGATAACAAAGGGCCTACTGTCACCATCATGAAGAGTGGTAATTATATTTTTGGAGGATTCACTGAAATATCGTGGGACTGTAAGTATGTTAGTTGTGAAAGGGTTATTAAATAATTTATTTTTGATCGCATTCAGCGGCATCTAAGATACATTTTGAATTGAAGGATATTTCAAACTAGGCAACATTACAAAGCGCAACGAGACAACGAGACGTAAAAAAGAGAGATAAAGCTGGCTTAGGAGCTTTGACATAGTAAAATATCAGAAGTTAAGGAAATTAGAATGAAATATTAGTAGATTTAGTGTAACAAATTTCTTCAAACTTTTCCAAATATTGACACGCATTGCAAATGATAAACAAGATGAACGATAAGTGTCGACAGGTGCCCATCAAGTATGGGCTGCTGGTGTCAAGAACTCGGTGTGCTATGCCTATACCTAAGGTTGACGCGTTGTTTTCATGTTTTAGTTACGATAATGGGAAACAAGTTACAACATATTAGTTTCTTATACTAGAGGTGTTTCTTAGGTTAACGAAGGAGACTCGGTGTTGTCAATATTATCCATATTTTCGAAATATTCTTATTACCTTGGTGGAAAAATGTTAAAAGAGCCATGTTACCCTGTGCGACTGGCGCAATAACACAGCTGGGATGTGTAATGACCCAATGTCTGAATTTAGTGCTTGTTGAACATAATGCCTTGTCTAAACGTTCTTTGTTTTCTGGCCGACGAGACTGAAAACCATTACGTATGTCGAGAGATATTACGCTATTCAAATCATCACTTGTCTCGACAATTTGCAGCAATCAAAAAATCTTGTAGACATGTATGTTTTGCATTTCTTCCCAAAGTTACAACAATGAGATGCCTGAGTAAAACCAATAGCTGGGAAAACCAAAACCTCATTCACACCAAAGCTTAAAAATGTTCAAAGTTGTTTTTTCAAACAAGGTTTGAAATTGTTTGAAACTTCTTAAACTGAAGTTTGTCGGCCTTAAAATCAGCCCATTGAAAATACAAGTTAGTGACTACCTGAAACTTATGGGAAAACCAGCTTTCTAGTTCACCGTTTCTCATTTTCATTGAGTTAAACCCGGTATAAATAAAACATATTTAATCATGACGTAGCCGCTTTTTTAGCAAATGTATTGATTTCTTATTGATTTAGATTATTCATGTTCTCTAATGCAAATAACAATTCTGAAGCATCATCTCTCACTTATAAACATGTACAGGTGCTAGTGGATGGGTAAGATGCTTACAAGCGTTCTTGTTCAGCATGATCAACCCTAGTGGACTGGGTCCAACTAAAATGCCGCTTTTAATTGAGAGTCACGAGCATGCCATCTTCTGTAAAGCAGACTATGGACCGACGTTTGGTGCAGGGCATGACTTACATATATCAGGAAATGCAAATATCAATTATGATAGTCACACTATCTCAGGCTGCTCGTATCAGTGTCCCACAGGACAGAATGCTAAAACATTCCTCGCGGGAGAAAAACATTTTATAGTTACAGATTACGAGGTGTTTGGACTTCACAAATAACAAATCAAATATTCCTTCCCATATGAGGGGCTATAAAAAAAGTAAAATGTCCTGAGAGCTGTAATTTATGTGTTTCATAATCATTACTTTTAGAAAAAGGCCCCTTAGAAAATGCTTGCAGGTCAGCTTATCGGCTTCACCATTATTCGATTTCTCATTTCTCGCCAGCTTATAGAGAACCGTCTCGCTCTAATCGTCACAAGGTCAGCAAATTATTCCACCCCACCCCCCCTGCTCCCCTTCAGGAAACACAAGGTCAACTCACACACTGCCTTATCGTTGCTATCTTATTTACTGGAACCAAAGTGGGGTGTTTGAGGCTGATATAGAACTAAATCAGTGGGCCACTATTTCGTTCTTTTGGTTTGGTTATTTTTTTCTTTTTAATTGTTTTGTTTTGTTGGGTTTTTCGAAGATCTAAACCTTCTTAACGGATAACTGTAAAAGAGTGTTACGTCCTTTAAAACACGCATCGAGGATGGCTTAGTTGAGATTTATGTAGCTGTGGCAGAATACATCGTTTATTTCACTTCATTTCTTTTTCTGACTTGCAACTGTGTATCATTCTAACTCCCTTTTAGTTTGAACATAGCTTTACATACCCATGTCACTTTTTCATTTTAGAACTCAACCATAAACTTAGTCTCAATAACATCAGGCGGTATGTTGGTGGACTGTTTGGGGTGCTGCCTGGAGTTCTGCCTGGAAACTGGAAGAGACTTGCATCCATTTGAATCAAAATTTGTCACAAATTTAAGAAACATTTTAGTCTTTAGTCACTTAAAATAGTTAAGCACAAGACCTAAAAGCACAATTTCTCAAAAGCCACTCTTCAATCTTAGTTTAAGAATTAATCACCCGCGTGAGATGGATTGATAAGTTTTACAACCTGATTGATCACAGAGGGTCGATTTTGCATGTCTTGGTTTTTTCGGTAATATGTTAGTAAATGCCACAAAAGCATTGTAGATCGCAACGCCTTACATCCTTTTTCGTTTGTTTATTGTTCTTGTGCAAGAGTGCTAATTGTAGTAAAATTTTGTGTGCGCTTTCTTTGTGTCATTGCGTAACGTTGCGTAACGTAGCGTGTATTTAACCCTATTGTTCATCGTAGTTTGGGGGCAGTTTTGCAGTGTAGTTTCGTCGAGTGTGGTTTGGTATATTTGTTCTTTTCGCTTCGTGCAGTTTGTTCGCCACTAGGCAGGATCTATAACATCGCAACAAATGTAAGTTTTGTATCATGTAGTTTTCTTCGTTGTTTTCGTTGTAGCTTTCCTTGTGTATTTAGTCTAGTTTATATTGTAATAGTTTTCGTTCGCTGTTTTATTTGCAGTTTTAACCTTACCGTGTCATTTCGTTCCGCGTTAAAAATTGCCAGAATTAGTTAGTATTAGTCGCCAGTGGCAGTTACAAGCATTTCTTGGAGTAAATTTAAGAACATATATATTAATCAGATTGTAGTGATGGGATGAATATTTTTATCAAGTAGCTACCGCTCTCTGTAGAGAAGGAATGTCTTAGTAAGCGTTGTTATGAACACGTACAACTTATATCAGTACCCAAAAAGATGAAGACCGGTATCATCAACTCATCAAAAAAATTAGCGCGTGAAGCGTGTTTGGAAACCACCCTGAACATAACCGTGCCCTCAAGGATCGCATCAAGATCTTTTTCCGTTCTTTCTTAATCGAAGTTAATGTTTTCAAACTCCAGATGAAAAATAAATATGCTCACAGACAATGAAATGATCTTTTCCCCGCCCTATTCTACGCATCAAATCGAAATTCAGAGTAATTATATGATTACGACGTGAAATGGCCCTTGCCTGATTTAAGATAACTCTGTACCGCCTGATTAAAGTCATTTTTTCAGGTGTTGATAGATTTAATTAAAGATTTTGCGCTGATTTTTGTACAGACAGAAACCTTTTTTTTCTTTTTTTGGGAAAATCAGCGCATAGAAAGAAGATGAAGAGCAACATGGTTTACAATTTTTAAAAAGCCAATCATGAACCCAATTTGGGGAAACTATGATATACTTTGGATTTAGCACTCGGCCTGGCTCAGTCTTGATATCTTTTAAAATGAAACAGCTATCACCTTTACAGGTACGTCTTTGCTTTGAGTGCGAGTAATTTTTCTTCTCGTAAACAAGGAGTGGGGTTATAGTCACAAGTTGCGCCATTGCGAACAGTTTGTACCCGGTCATTTAAAAATCACTAAATTACTTTTAAATAAGCAGGACAGCATTTATCGCGCTTCACGGCAATATTGCTAATATTCTCTATGGGGTTGTGCATGGCAATAAGAACTGAGATATCCCGGATGTATGCACACGTGTTTGATTGTGTATTTACGGTCAGATTGAATCGTTGTGTTATCTAGCCGTGTTATTTAATCCACGTATTGATCTCCCGTTACAGGCCTTTCAGGAGTGTTAAGAGAGTTCCTTTCGTTTTCAGAATATCGTTTGTACTCTAAGCAACCATAAGTAAAAAGCCTCTGCGAAGGGGCAGAAACAACAAAAACAAGGTCTGGAAGCTGCAGAAGATTACTTCAAAGAAGTTTGCGATATATTTCAGCGAGAAGCAGCTAGACTTCGCCAAGAGCAGGAAGCGATCGATGCCATGTCGAAGAAGTTGGAACATGTTCACTTTTCCTCAACTATACATCTAAATGTCGGGGGTCATCGCTTCACAACAAGTCTTCAAACGATTACCAAGGATCCAAATTCGATGCTGGCAGCCATGTTTTCTGGGAAGTTTGAAATGAAACCTTGTGAAGACGGCGCTTTCTTCATCGACCGAGATGGAACTCACTTCCGGTTTATACTTAATTATCTTCGCAATGGTAAGTTGACTTTACCGGAAGGAGCAACATTTCTGAAAGAACTTTCAGATGAAGCTGAGTTCTACCAGATCCAAGGAATTCTGGAAGAGTTGAAGCCTAAAGCACCGAAGAATTTTGAAGAATCAGTGATTCTGACAAATGAAGAGCACCAAAGCAAGCTTATTGGTTGGCTGCCTCAATACAGTCATTGGCATCAACTGTTCCGAGCAACTCGAGATGGCTTCACAGCTCAAGCTTTTCACGCAAAATGTGATAGCAAAGGACCCACGGTTACAATTGTGAAAAGTGGAAACAATATTTTTGGAGGCTTCACGGAAAACTCATGGAACAGTAAGTAAACACTTTTGAAAGGTTGAGTCGGTAGGATAAGATGGTGATAATGGAAAGCTGCTTTAGGACTGTTGAGTATATAAGTTATTCCAAAATTTGTACCAAAAATATTTTTGTCTTTTTCTTCTTTGAAACAGGTCACGCTGACTACTTGCACTGTTCACAGTCATTCTTGTTTAGCATCGTGAATCCGCAAGGAGTGGCACCGTGTAAAATGCCTCTTGTAAAAAATCAGCAGTATGCCATTAAGTGCAAGAGCAACTATGGTCCAACATTTGGAGGAGGGCACGACATATATATATCACCTAACTCAAACACAAGTGGCTCAAGTTACAGTAATCTCGGCAACACGTATCAGCTTCCCACCGGACAGCAGAACACATTCTTCACGGGAGCTCCACATTTCAACGTAACAGACTTCGAAGTCTTTGGAATCTGCTAATGACAGCCGTCACAAACATTTGAGAAGCCAGCAGGTGAAACTCCACAATGATTTGAATGATCTTCTCGCTCATAACTTTTTTAAAAGGTTAACTTTTATTTCCATTTCTACATCGAAATACATTATTTTCTTCAGCCTGCCGCAACTAAAGCGAAGTACAAGATTCCCGTAGAAATCCATATTATACCATCAGACTATTTCTATACGGAAATCTTTTCAAGCAAAGTTCCACACTTCATTATACATACTGTTCTTGGATCAGAGAAAGCAATGGAAAAACAGTAGATTGCCTTTAATTTGACTTCGGCTTTTTTTTAGAATAGTATTGGGTTATACGGAAAGCTTTCCAGTTGTCTGGCTGACGGAAAAGAAGCCGTCGTAAGCACTGATACAAAATATTTTCAATAATTTTAATTTCAGTGGATTCCGGGAGCCATTCTACACAATTCGAATTTCTAAGAAAATAAATGTGTAGAAATGCCGTAGACGATTCAGTTATCATAAACTTTTTTCATTTGTGCACTCGTTTCACCGGCGGAAAAGAGCCGGATCAAACAAAACAAACAAATATCAGGATTTGGTAGGTTTTTTTTTTTTTACGGAACGTAATAAATATACTGTTGACTTGTCGGTTGTGTATTCATATGGATTGTCATACTTTGGATTACGATTCTTGCTGAAGGAACAAACTTTAAATTCATGAAGCTACTTAACTCATCGGGAAAATGCTGCCTACACTGATTGTAATTCAAATGGCGGACATGAGATATAATTGGTGATACTAACCTAAATATGAACGCTGTTTGACGTCTCTATGTTTTCTCAAACATAATAATCTGGAAAATATTCGTTAAGGTCATGTGAAGGGACAAAATAGCATAATGTGAACATTCTTGCATTCACAGTTTTGCGCAGATAAGTAGCTATAAGTGACGGGCGCAGTTCTATGATAAATAACATCTAGAAATCAAGTCAATGAAAACAACTTAGGCATGTTTTGAAAGTGTTCTTTCACTGAGCTCTTCACATTTGTAAATATTAGGATGAGAAGGAAACGTGTCACGCTATCGCAAGTCACGCATCACTTGTTTTGCTGACAAACGACCACGATCTTATTCCTGATTTGAACCCCGACTTGCTACTTTAAAACAGTATTTCAACATTTATAAGTTCCCAGAAAAAGCTGGGGTGAAAAAAGTTCTCATGGAAAATAATTTAACATGTAATCAAGTTCTTGAAGACGCTGGAAATCAAATCAGAGAAGCCTGTGAGATATCACAACGAGAAGCAACAAGACTCTCTCGTCGATTGTAAACCTCCATGTTGGCGGCCGCCGTTTTAAGACAAGTCTTCAAACGCTGACAAAAGATCCAGACTCGATGTTAGCTGCTATGTTCTCCGGGAAGTTCGAGGTGAAACCATCATAAGACGGAGTTTTCTTTATCGACCGAGATGGGAAACACTTCCGGTTTATACTCGACTATCTCCGCACTAGAAATTAACTTTGCCAAAATGAGCAACATTTCTGGACGAACTTGCGGAAGAAGTTTCGCCAGATCCAAGGGATTCAAGACGAGTTAGTATCTAAAGCACCGAAATATTTTGAAGAATCAGTGATTCTGGCGAATGAAGAACACCTAAGCGTTAAATGGTTGGTAGTCTCCAGGAGTTCCCGAGATGGCTTCCAAACTCGAACGTTTCACTCAAAATGTGACACTAAAGGGCCTACTTTCACCATTGTAAAGAGCGGAAATTACATATTTGGTGGATTCAAGAACTTGTTCAAGACGATTTTTAAAGGTGTGTTAGGCCTACTTAAGGTTGACGCGTTGTTTTTACGGTCCCGGTAATAGGAAACAAGTTACAACATATCAGTTTTATATACAAGAGGTGTCTCTTTAGCGAAGGAGGCCCGATGTTGTTGGCGTAAGTATTAGGGCGGCCAAAGTCCCTCCCCCCAGGCCCCTCTCCTAGATCAGACCCTCTCAAAAGCGTATCAGTTTCGATACCCAAAAAATTATTCAACCACATCATTTGAGGTTTTACCCACATTTTCGAAATATTCTAGTTTTCTTAGAGGAACAATGTTACAAGGGTCATTTTACCCAGTGAGACTGGTGCGTTAACCCAGTTAGAATACGTAATTGCCCAATGTCTGAATTTAGTGCTTGTTTAGTATAATGCCTTGTCTAAGATCGTCTAAGCATTCTTTAAGTCATTCACATCACCACTTGTCTCGACACTTCGCAGCAATTAAAAAATCTTGTAGACATGTATGTTTTACATCTCTTCCCGAAGCTTGAATAATGAGACGCCTGAACAAAACCAATGGCAAGGAAAACTAAAGCCCCATTCACACTGGAGCTTAAACATGTTTTAAAGTAGTTTTGTTAAACAAGGTTTGAAATTGTTTTTCTTCATAGTGGCTTCTTAAACCGATGTTTGTCGGTCTTAAACTCAGTACATTGAAAACGCAAGTTAGTAACTACTTGAAACCTATAGGAAAACCAGCTTTCTGGTTCACCGTTTATGATTTTCATTGAGTTAAAACCGGTTTATAGACAACATGTTTAATTGTGATACAGCCGCTTTTCCAGCAAATGTATTGATTTATTATTCCAAAAATTATATTGATATTATTCATGTCCTCTAATGCAAATAACAATTCTGAAGCATCGTCTCTGACTCACAAGGTGCCAGTGGATGGGTAAGATGCTCACAAGCGTTCTTGTTCAGCATGGTCAACCCTGGTGGACTGGGTCCAACTAACATGCCGCTTTTTAAGAGTCACGAGTATGCCATCGACTATGATGCTATGCTACTTTTTACGACATAGGAAAAGTATGTCGGACAAAAATATTTACCAAAAATAAATATCTCTTTGCCAGCTTCAACAATGACAGGGGATTAAATTTAGATAAAACAAAGGATTGTCTTGACAGAAATACCAGAGGTCTAGTATATTCGTTACATGAGGTCACACAGCTCGGGTAATATTCACGGTGAAAATTTGCATATTTGAGCTGTCGAACGAAAAAAATCATTTCTCGAAAACTAAAATATATTTTCACAAAAAAACTACACCACAATTATTAGGACATATTGGGCTACAAAATATGAAGGTAGGAGTGAAAGCAAATTTTGGGTGACTTGCCGCTGTTTGTCTGATGCATGCTGACATTAGCTCTTAGGTTGAACATGAGCTAAATTAGAGCTCAATTAGAACTGGAACGAGCAAAGAGGATGTCACGCAACAATAGGAAATTTCCTTTTTTGGAAATTTGTAAGTCAAATTGATCCTTATAGACATGTGACTACGTTGTATCGTCCAGAAAGCTGTAGTTCGCAATAGGAACACTTCTCCTTTTGATATTCCGCAGAAAACAGAAACAAGAACCATGAGTAGAAATGGTGATGAACAACGCAATCAAGTCTTTAAAGACGCTGAAAATTATATCAAATAAGCTAGTGATATGTTGCAACGAGAAGCAGCAAGACTTCGCCAAGAGCAGGAAACAATCGACTCCATGTCGAAGAAGTTGGAACATGTTCACTTTTCTTCTACTATACAACTAAATGTTGGCGGTCATCGCTTTACAACAAGTCTTCAAACGCTTACCAAGGATCCAAATTCGATGCTGGCTGCAATGTTTTCAGGGAAGTTTGAGATGAAACCTTCTGAAGACGGCACTTTCTTTATCGACCGAGATGGAACACACTTCCGGTTTGTACTCAATTATCTTCGCACTGGGAAATTAACCAAAAAAGGAGCAACATTTCTAGACGAACTTGCGGAGGAAGCTGCGTTCTACCAGATCCAAGGTATACTGGACGATTTGGTGCCTAAAGCTCCGCAGAATTTCGAAGAATCAGTAATTCTGACGACTGAAGATCATCGAAGCGCGCCGAGCGATTGGTTGCCTCAACAAGACGGTAAATGGCAGCTTCTGATGCGAGCTTCTCAAGAGGGCTTTCAAGCTAAAACCTTCCATTCCAAATGTGACGACAAAGGGCCTACTGTCACCATCGTGAAGAGCGGAAACAACATTTTCGGTGGATTCACTGAAACATCGTGGAGCAGCAAGTGCATTAATTAGTTGTGACAGTTAATTTAAGGTATTTTTGGTCACATTTAGCGGGATTGAATTTAGAGTGGAAAGAAACAACGAGAAGTGAAAAGGAAAATATAAAGCTGGCTTAAGATCTTTGCAGAAGATTTTAAGTTGAGGAAATCATAATGAAATATTTATAGACTTTCAAACCTTTTCAAATATTGATAGTCAAGCATTGCAAATTATAAACAGGAAATGAACATAAACAATATTTCGTTTAAGACGGTTTTAAAAGGTGGGCTTTATCTACTTTAACACGTTGTTTCTATGTTTTAGCTTAAGTAATAGAAAACAAGTTACAACAATTTAGTCCTAAAAAGAAGAGGTGTCTATTTAACGAAAGAGGCTAGACGTCGTTAGCAAAAGTATAAGGGCCGCTAAAGCCCCTCTCCCCAGGTCCCTGTCCTAGATTGGACTCTTTCAAAAGCACATCAGTTTCAATATCTAAAAAAAAAATTCAACCACATAATTTCCTTGGAGGAAATGTTAAAAGGGTCATGTTACCAAGTGAGACTGGCGCATTAACACAGCTGGGATATCTAATTGCCCAGTGTCATGTAGTTACTGCTTGTGTAGTATCATGCACTGTCTAAGATCGTCTAAATAATTTCTTATTTCTGACCGACGACAAAAAGATTAAAAACCTATAGCAAGGAAAACTAATACCCCATTCACACCAGAGCTTAAACATGTTTTAAAGTAGTTTGTAAAACAAGGTTTCAAAAGGGTTTTCCTTCACAGAAGCTGCTTTAACCGATGTTTTTCGGCCTTAACCTCAGCACATTGCGGGTGTGTAGAGGGGATGGGAGAGGGAGGAGGGCAGTAGTCGGGATCATCGCCGTTTTTTTCGGATATGATGTAAAGCTGGTTTAGAAATATAACAGTTGAATATTATTCCAAAATTTGCATCAATATTAGTTTTGGTTTTTCTTTTCTGAAACAGGTCAGGGTAGCTACGTGCACTGCTCACAGTCATTCCTATTCAGCATGATGAATCCGCAAGGAGTGGCTCCGAGTAAAATTTCTCTTGTAAAAGATCAGCAGAGTGCCATTTTCTGTGATCGCCGCTATGGGCCATTATTTGGAGGAGGGTGTGACTTACATATATCAAATAACGCAAACACTAGTGGTTCAAGTTACAGTAATCTCGGCTTCTCGTATCAGCTTCCCACCTGACAGCAGAGCACATTCTTCACGGGAGCTGAAAATTTTAATGTGACGGACTAGGAAGTCTTTGGAATCTGCTAATGACAGCCGTCACAAACCTTTAAGAGGTCAGCAGGTTAAACTTCACTAAGATTTGAACGATCTTCTCGGTTATAATTTTTTTTAAGAGGTGAACTTTTATTTTCGTTTTCTACATCAAAAAGCATTATTTCCTTCTGTCCACAACAAAAGCAAAGGACAAGATTCCCCGACGTAGAAACTCATACTACGCTTAATCTTTTTTTCAGAGGGCAGGGTAATGAATCCTGCAATCTGATTGATTCTTTACGCGGTCCGTATTTTCCTCTCTCTGCCCACGGACAACGGTAAAGCTTTCGTGAGTCGGCGGGTACATCCCTACCTTGTCATATTTCATAAATATATCTCGTTTTTCCCGCCGGGCAGTATTTTCAAGCAAAGACGTCGGTCACTACCTCAAGCCGATAAATAACTTATTAATCCTCTCTTTTCTCTCTTTCAAATAACTTTGGTTGTCAGAAAAACATTGGTTTCAAAATGAATTTGTATAAGCAAACGTGTCATTACGTTGATTGACAAGCGGCCAAAAACCGTTTGCAAGTAATTTTAATCGTTCACAAAAAGTACCTAGAAAGTTAAAACGCGAGGTATTTGGTTACAGTTGAACTAGTCGATGGAACTTTCATTCATCTGACATCTGAATTCTCTCAAACAATTTGTTCGCAGTGAAAGGACGAGCGAAGTTTTCAGTTCTACAACAAAAGCACGCTCCCGGTGAGTCTTCCCAAGTATGTTCAATTTGGACATTTGTACCGTAAATTGCACAACAGATACTGAAGGAATTCAGTGAGAAAAAGCCGCATTAAATCCCCTTATATCTCGTTGGAGTGTCCCATTCGAATTTAGTTTTTGTGAAGGAAAGACCAGATTTACACACGCCAGTGTGTAAATCAGTGCAGGAAACGAATAAGCAAACTCTCACAACTTAAAAATAAACAATTTGAATTTGCTTACAATTACTTTCCTCGCCTTTACCTAATGAACAGAGGTAAATCTTCGTTCATGAATTAATCGTCGAAGAGAGTGAATCATACTTTCCGTGATATTATTGACTGTTTTTGAAGAAAACACTACCATGCATGACAGTCCTTTCCAACTAGTTTCGTTGTGTTTCAAAAGTGTACATGCTCTTTTTTTTTCTTACACGCTCTTTAATTGACAGGTTCAGACAATAAGTAAAAATGTTTCTACTCTGAACTATTGGAACTCTCAGCTTATTTTCAGGTGCAAATCAACATTAACAATAGTAGAGACTATTACATCGAACTCGATCTTATTTCCTAATTTTAACGATTATTAATTCGCACCGTACCATCTGACGGGTCATTTCCAGCTCTCAGGTCGTATGCATTGGCAATACGCATGTTAGTATGCACTGGAACGTAAAGTCAATTATCTATTTCTACCAGAACGTCAAGGATGATGATTTCACTCAATTTTGTTGGGGGGTCCAAATCCGCGGAGGAGGGTCCATATCCGCCAGCGGATTTGGACTGGGAGTCCAAATCTAGGGGCGTCCAAATCCGCTAGGACACCGTTACAAGCACTGGTACAAATTCAAAATCTGTTCAACACTGTTGTTTTTAGTGGATGCCGAAGGTCATTCTATACAATTCCCTAGAGAATGAATGTGAAGAAAAGCAGCAAACGATCCAATTATTTATAGAGAAAGAGGGGTAAGTTTCTCAAGAAATTGTAGAGCTGCGTCGGTGGGAGAGTACAACGGAGTAATTAAGTGTCATTAACTGAGTTGAAAACGTAAATTGGCCACCATAAGAGTTAAAAGGCTTACGTTTTGAGCGTTAGCTCTTCTTCAGAGCGATTCAATCGCTCCGTGAAATAGATTCCAATCGCTCTGTTCAACAGCATGTGAAAAGCCATAAACGATCCAATTATTTATAAATAGATGAGGGTAAGTTTCTCTAGAAACTGTGGTGCTGCTTCAGTGAAAGAGTATAACAGGGTAATTTATTGTTATCAACTGAGTTGAAAACGTAAATGTAACGTAAGATTACAAAGCCCAGTGAGACGTAAAAAAGACAGAAAAGGCTGGCTTAGGATCTTTGGCATAGCAGAAGTTAGGGAACTTAGAGTGAAATATTAGCAGATTTAGTGTAACAAATTTCTTCAAACTTTTCCGAATATTAACACGTATTGCCAATGACAAACAAGTTAAAGAATAAGTGTCAACAGGAGCCCATCAAGTATGGGCCCCTGGTGTCAAGAACTCGTTCAAGACGATTTTTAAAGGTGTTCTATGCTTACAGGTTGACACGTTATCTACATGTTTTAGTTACGGTAATAAAACCGCTGGTTAAACCGATGTTCGTTGGCCTTAAACTCAGCGCATGATGAAAAAAGTTGGTGACTACTTGAAACTATGGGAAAACCAGCTCTTTAGTTCACCGTATCTGATTTTCATTGAGTTAAACCCGGTTTAATTAAACATGTATAATTGCCAGATATAGTCACTTTTTCAACAAATGCCATTTGCGAAAAAAGCAGTATTGATTTCTTATTCCAAAAATTATATTTAGATTATTCTTGTTCAATAATGCAAAAAAACAATTCTGAAGCATCATCTCTGACTGACAAATAAATGGGTAAGATGCTCACAAGCGTTCTTGTTCAGCATGGTCAACCATAGTGAACTGGGTACGACTAAAATGCCGCTTTTTAAGAGTCGCAAACATGCCATCCACTGTGTAGCAGGGCATGACTCACATATATCAGGAAATGCAAATATCAATTACGATAGTCACACTATCTCAGGCTGCTCGTATCAGTGTCTCACAGGACAGAATGCTAAAACATTCCCTGGGAGAAAAACATTTTACAGTAACTGTAACAGATAACGAGGCGTTTGTAACAAACCAGGTATTTCTTCCCATGTAAGAGGTCATAAGAAAAGTAAAATGTCCTCAGAGCTGCTATTTATGTGTTTCATAATCATTACTTTTTGAAAAATGGCCCCTTGGAAAAGTCTTGCAGGTCAGCTTATCGGCTTCACTATTACTCGGCTCTTTATTTCTTGCCAGCTAATAAAGAACCATCTCACCTTAATCTTTACATGGCCAACTAATTACTCCAGCCCAAACCCCTCTAGCTCCCCTTGTACTTGATAAGCTAATAATCAGGGAACACAGGGTCAACTCACAGACTGCCTGATCGTTGTTATCATAGTTATTGGAACCGAAGCGGGGCGTCTAACTGTATCCTGTCTTTTTTTTTTTTCAAACTGTAAAAGAGTGTTGTGTCCTTGAAAACACGCATGGCTTAGTTGAGATCTATGTAGCTGTAACAGAATGTATCGTTTATTTTATTGCATTCTTTGCCTGACTTGCAAGTGTTCATCAATCTAACACCCTTTTAATTTGGATTATGGCTGTACATGTGTTATGTAACTTTTTATTTTTTAGAAGTCAACTATAGACTTAGTCCGGCAGCAACATCGGGCGGTATGTTTGAAGACTTTATGGTATGCTGCCTGGTGTTCTGCTTGGAAACTGGAAGAGACTTACCATTTCAATCGACATTTTTTACAAATTTTTAACTAAAAGTTACTTAAAAGTAACTTTTAGTGGTTAGTCACATAAAAAGGCATTGTGGTTACGGTCACGACTTGCGTCATTGCAAATAGTGTGTACTGCGTCTTTAAAATCACGGATTTAATTTTAAAATAAGCATGACTTTATCCAACATGCTTAGTTGCCATGCAGGAGTGGTAAGAGGGTTCCTTTCCTTTTATGGATATCGTTTGTACTTTAAGTAACCACGAGTAAAAAAGACTCTACGAAGGGTAGAAACAATAGAAACAAGGTCTGGAAGCTCCAGAAGATCACTTCAAAGAGGCTTGCGAAATATTTCAGCAAGAAGCAGATAGAATTCGCTAAAAGCAGCTAAAGATCGACGCCATGTAGAAGAAGTTGGATCATGTTCACTTTCCCTCAATTATAGAGCTAAATGTCGGGGGTTATCGCTTCACAACGAGTCTTCGAACGCTTACCAAGGATACAAATTCGATGCTGGCTGCCATGTTTTCCGGGAGATACGAAATAGAACGTTGTAAAGACGGCGCTTTCTTCATCAACCGGGATGGAACTCACTTCCGGTTTATACTTAATTATCTTCGCAATGGAGAGTTAATTTTACCAGATGGTGCAACATTTCTCAAAGAGCTCGAAGTTGAAACTAAATTCTATCCGATCCAAGAAATATTGGACGACTTAGTGTCTAAAGGCCCGCAGAATTTCAAAGAATCAGTAATTCTGACGAACGAAGAACACCGAAGCGTGCTGAGCGGTTGGTTGCCTCAACAAGACGGCAAATGGCAGCTTCTGATGCGAGCTTCTGAAGAAGGCTTTCAAGCTAAAACTTTTCATCCCTAATGTGACAACAAAGGGCCCACTATCACCATCGTGAAGAGCGGGAACAATATTTTCGGTGGATTCACTGAAATATGGTGTAGCAGTAAGTATATTAATTAGTAGTGACAGGGTTAAGTAAAGGTATTTTTGGTCGAAATTAGCGGGGTTGAATATAAATTAGAATTTGAAGGATATTAGAAAATCCGAAAAATAACAAGAAAGTGGAGAGAGAAAACGAGAAGTGAAAAGAAAAATAAAAAGCTGGCTTAAGATCTTTGCAGAATATCTAAAGTTGAGGAAATCTAAATGAAATATTAATAGATTTAGTTTAATAAATTAAACCCGGGTTAATTAAACGTATTTAAGTGTCAGATGTAGCCACTTTTTCCGCAAATGCTATTTGCGGAAAAAGTGGTATGGATTTCTTATCCCAAAAATTATATTTAGATTATTAATGTTCTATAATGCAAATGATAATTCTGAAGCATCATCTCTGAGTTACGATCAGGTGTCAGTAAATGGGTAAGATGCACACAAGCGTTCTTGTTCAGCATGGTCAACCATAGTGGACTGGGTAAAACTAAAATGCCGCTTTTTAAGAGTCACCAACATGCCATCGAAGCAGGCCATAGACCGATGTTTGGTACAGGGCATGACTTACACATCATTGTTGCTATCATATTTATTGGAACCAAAGCGGGGCCTTTGAGGCTGATTTAGAATTGAATAAGTCGTTCATGTGACCATCGGATCATAACTTTCATTACCTAAACTGTATGAAAGCTTAAGTGTCATGGGCGTTCATTGTTTGGTCCTTTTGTTTTGGTTTTGTTTTGTTTTTTTGTTTTTTTTGGTTATTTTATGTTGGATTTTTTGTAACCAATCGTAATAATCGCCCTGATACGACATTAGGAGCAGGCATCTTATTGATACAGGATACAGCTTGGAGCGTTAACAAGATCATACATGACTAAGGAGCAGTGCAGCAGTGAGTAGCAGTGAGTAAATAAAACATTAGAATGAAAGTAGACAGAGAAGTCTCGCGCAGCTCTTAGGTAAGTAATTAACTAAATCTTAAGTATGCTTAAAAGACCATATAATTTTTTTCTGAATAAAAAGCTAATCGACAAATTTACTGATAGCCGTGTATTACAATTCCAAAGAGTAACATAACTATTCGAAAATTGTCTTCTTATGCAACATGAAATTTACGTGGAAAAGAAATTTTTTAGTTGACTACACGTCAATTTATGTGGACACAATATATACTTCCCAATCTTTTTTAAGACCTTCTTAAGAGCGCTTGTCTGTAAAAATCAGACAAATCCTAAATTCTTATTTTAATATTAGACAGGCAAGACTATAACTAAAATCACTGGATACTTTTTTTGGCAAAATATCTTTTTATTTCAGAGAAAAATAAAAATAACAAAATTCCGTTAAAATCGTCATTATTGCACAAGTTTGAGGGCTTCGTGTTCAAAAACGAATCACAATCTCGTCTTTTTAACACTCAAATCTTCTTTTTCAACCTCATAAGACCTCACAAAACGATTTTTATAAACACTGTGTTCCTCTTTGCGTGTAAAATAATTTAATTTCGAAAGCATACATTTCTCTTCAGTAAAAGTACTTTGTGAGTAAAGTTAATTTTCAGCATGTGCTAAACCTTCAAATGGATTAAGCTTTGGGCAGTAGAATTACGAATAGATGTTCTCAATATTACTGTAAAAATTTATTTGGGCAAATGATTGAGAGCGATACCGAAAGCTTTTCAAAGTCCGTTAAAATGCAGTCATTTGACCTTTCGCGGTCAACATTCCAGTCGCGAGTCACACACGTACTTTAATATGATTCAACCCATATGAGGCCGGAAAATGTACACGAGTACACATTTCCAAATGCTCTAACCTCATTTGCGGTAGAAGAAAGATCCAAAGACCATTTTACTGTGGTTATCTCGTCGCTCGTCGTATTTATAACGTCCGATGAAACTGCCTGTCAATCTGCGAACTGTCATCAACCTTCGTTGTAAAACGTTTGACATCTTTCTGTACTGTGGCATCTTATCCAGCGGTTCAGTTGACTGTGAGAGTTGTTCGGTTTGTGGTGCAGTAGATCTGATCGATGCTTTTAAAAGTGGCACTACACATATGTTGCAGTCAACGCAGTTTTGTATACGGAGAGTCGTCACGCAATGCAAATCATACAATGGAAAGTTATTTTTTAGGGGGTGGGAAGGGGAAAGTAAAAAGACGTCACTCTGCTGCTAAGCTTTCTTTAGTTGTTGTGAACATCGAAATCTCTCACATGTAAGTCGCGGAGATCGGGCCTTTGGCTGATACTTGTTGAAAAGCTAAATTTAGTACCTGCTAAAAATAGAAAGCCTTAGTAAACAAAACCTGGTTTATGGTAATTACACGATGCCTATTGTTTTGTTCGCTTAGAGCGGGGCTTCGGACTTTGTTTTTAACAAATACACTAACTTACACGGTCAACTATGTTACATAAAATTGGAAGGTTGTTGTTCGTTCAAGTCGCTTATTGGCGGAGTTTGTGATTACAACACTAGAGATCGAATGCGTGAAACGGAAATTGTTCCTTTACTTTCATGCACCAAGAATATCGCAAGTCATGAGTCGGCTTTCAAATTTACCGGTCCTGAAGATGAGATCGACCTTATTTTGTGCCGAGCGCACATATGTCGGCCCCTCTGTAGTTTAAGGTTTTAAACGGTAGTTGGGTCTGTTAACGGTGGTTAATAGTACCACTCCCTTATGCAAGCCCCACCCATTGGCCACGGAACATAGCACCCCAGCCTCACATAAGCCACACATCCCCACCACCGTGTTTTGTAGCATGGTGTTGTAAAAATGTACAAAAGGTTCTCTTCCGTGCTATTAGGATATTCCTTGCAATTTTAGAGGAAAGAAAAACGCCCCTAATAAGTACGACAGGCACAGAGCGCCAAAAAAACAAGAATAATTCCCTGCAATAAATAAATGTATTTTACTGTTTGTCACCAGACAAAGATGACACTATTACAAAAATGTTTAAAGAATAAAATATTTTGTAGGTTCCAAGAGTTCAATTCTGATAGTGCTTAATTATATGGAGTTTTGCCCTTCACCTACCCGCTAAAGTTCCTTTGTCACCGGTATTGCGTGACAATCCAAATACTTAAAGGGCGTACATGTTTGTAGTCAACTCAGTTTAGCATTGAATTAGACTGTCAGATGTAATCTTTGCATTGTAACTGAGCAATACTCGCAGTCAACTGAACCGTTGAATAAGATGCCACAGTGAAGAAAGATATCGAACGTTTGACAACGAGATTGTGTTCGACAGGGTTGGTGGTTTCATCGGACGTTATCATTTATACGGACCTAAATACGACGAACGACAAGAAAATCGCACTAAAATGGTCTCTGGATCGGTCTTCTGCGGCAAATGAGGTTAGAGCATTTAGAAATATCTTTCTATGTACATTTTTCGACCTCATATGGGTTGAAACATATTAAAATATGTGTGACTCGCGACTGGAATGTTGATCGCAAAAGGTCAAATAACTGCATTTTAACGGATTTTGAAAAGCTTTTGTATCGCTCTCAATCACTTGCCCAAACAAATTTTTACAGTTTTATTGAGAACATCTTTTCGAAATTCAACCACCAAAAGCTTAATCCATTTGAAGGTTTAGCACATGGTGAAAATTAATTTTATTCACGAAGTATTTTTACTGAAGAGAAATGCATGCTTTCGAAATTAAATTATTTTAAGCGCAAAGAAGAGCGCAATGTTTACAAAAATCATTTTGTGAGGCCTCATGAGATCGAAAAAGAAGATTTGAGTGTTTAAAAGACGAGATAGTGATTCGTTTTTGCACGCGAAGCCCTCAAACTCGTGCAATAATTTGCTGCTAAAAATGACGATTTTAACGGAATTTCGTTATTTGTATTTTTCTCTGAAATAAAAAAATATTTTGCCAAAAAAGTATCCAGTGATTTTAGTTATAGCCAAGCCTATCTAACATTAAAATAAGAAAGAAATCGAATTTTCCACCCTTGCCGCGATATGTTTGATTTTTACAGACAAGCGCTCTTAAGAGCCTCTGAAGAATATAATACTCTTAATGACATTACCTTACCGCAAAATTTTTAGTGACAGTTAAGATACTATCAGTGTCATCAAAAATTAGTCTGCAAAATATATTTCACTGTTCGCCCAGCTCGCCTTGACTCGTTTTCCTTACCAGTCTCTCTCCGAATCATCTTGTTGACACGCAACTCCATGTCGCAACTCTAGGTCGAAAGCTTCCTAAACGAAAGTAACAACATTAATTTTAAGTGATAGTTCAGAGGCAGAAACAAAACTATGAGTAAACCAGATCTAGGAGATAACGATCATCAACATAATCAAGTCTTAACAGACGCTGAGAGCCATATTAAACAAGCTTGCGAGATGTTACAACGAGAAGCAGCAAGACTTCGTCACGAGCAGAGAGCAATCGACGCCATGTCGAAGAAGTTAGAGCATGTTCACTTTTCTTCAACAATACAGCTAAATGTTGGCGGTCATCGCTTCACCACAAGTCTCCAAACGCTGACCAAAGATCCAAATTCGATGCTGGCTGCCATGTTTTCCGGGAAGTTTGAGATGAAGCCTGCTGATGACGGCGCTTTCTTTATCGACCGAGATGGAACACACTTCCGGTTTATACTCAATTATCTTCGTAGTGGGGAGTTGATTTTACCAGAAGGTGCAACATTTCTGAAAGAACTCAAAGCTGAAGCCAAGTTCTACCAGATCCAAGGGATATTGGACGAGTTGGTGCCTAAAGCTCCGCAGAATTTCGAAGAATCAGTAATTCTGACGACTGAAGAGCACCGAAGCGTGCTGAGCGGTTGGTTGCCTCAACAGTACGGCAAATGGCAGCTTCTGATGCGAGCTTCTCAAGATGGCTTTCAAGCTCAAACCTTCCATTCCAAATGTGACAACAAAGGGCCCACTGTCACCATCGTGAAGAGCGGAAACAACATTTTCGGTGGATTCACTGAAATATCGCGGAGCAGTAAGTACATTAATTAGTTGTGACAGGGTTAATCTAAGGTATTTTTGGCCGCATTTAGCGGGGTTGAATATAAATTTTAATTTAAAGTATACAACAAAATCCGTAAAATAACGGGAAAGTGGAAAGAGACAACAAGAAGTGAAAAGGAAAATAAAAAGCTGGCTTAAGATCTCTGCAGAAGATTTAAAGTTGAGGAAATCATTATGAAATATTAATAGCCTTTCAAACGTTTTTAAATATAGACAGTCGAGCATTGCAAATGATAAACATGAATAAACGTAAACAATAATTCGTTCAAGTCGATTTTAAAGGTGGGCTATGTCTACTTAAGGTTGACTCGTTGTTTCTATGTTTTAGCTTAAGTCATAGAAAACAAGTACAACAAATTGGTTTTAAAAAGAAGAGGTGTCTCTTTAGCGCAGGAGGCTCGACGTTGTAAGCATGAATATTAGGGCTGATAGAGACCCTCTTCCCATGCCCCTGTTCTCGATTGGACTCTTTAAAAAGCACATGTAAGTGTGTAGAAAGGATGGGAGAGGGAGGAGGTTAGTAGTCGAGATCATCGCCGTTTATTTTTGGATATGATGTAAAGCTGGTTTAGAAATATAACATTTGAACACTATTCCAAAATTTGCATCAATATAAGTTTTGGTTTTTCTTCTCTAAAACAGGTCAGGGTAGCTGGGTGCGCTGCTCACAGTCATTCCTATTCAGCATAATGAATCCGAAAGGAGTGGCTCCGAGTAAAATGCCTCTTGTAAAAGATCAGCCGTTTGCCATTTACTGTGATAGCAACAGTGGGCCAACATTTGGAGGAGGGCATGACTTCCATATATCAAATAACGCAAACACAAGTGGTAAAAGTTACAGTATTCTCGGCTACTCGTATCAGCCTCCCACCGGACAGCAGAACACATTCCTCACGGGAGCTCAATATTTTAATGTGACGGACTACGAAGTCTTTGGAATCTGCTAATGACAACCGTCGCCAGCAGGTTAAACTTCACGATGATTTGAACCATCTTCTCGGTTATTACTTTTTCAAAAGCTTAACTTTTATTTCCATTTTCTACATCGAAATACATCATTTTATTCCGCCTGCAACTAAAGCAAATTACAAGATTCCCGTAGAAACCATACTACACTATCTGACTATGTCTATTGGGGAAATCTTTTCGAGCAAAGTTCCACACTTCATTACACATACTGTTCTTGGAGAGAAAGCAATGGCAAAACAGTAGATCGCCTTTAATTTGGGATTAAAGCTTTGCATTGTTTAAGAATAGTATTGGGTTATACGGAAAGCTTTCCAGTTGTCTGGCTGACGGAAAAGAAGCCGTCACAAGTACTGATACAAAAGCTGTTCGACACTTTTACTTTTAGTAGATTCCGGGAGCCCTTCAATTCGAATTCCTAAGGAAATAAATGCGTAGAAAAGCCGTAGACGATCCAGTTATCTATAAACTTTTTTCATTTGTGCACTCGTTTCACCGGTGGAAAAGAGCGGATGAAACAAAACAAACAAAAGTTAGGATTTGGTAGGTTGTTCTTTATGGAACGTAATAAATATACTGTTGACTTGTCGGTTGTGTATTTATACGGATTGTCATACTTTGGATTACGATTCTTGCTGAAAGAAAAAACTGTAAATTCATGAAGCTATTTAACTCATCGGGCAAATGCTGCCTACACTGATTGTGATTCAAATGGCGGACATGAGATATAATTGGTGATACTAACCTGAATATGACCGTTGTTTGACGTCTCGATGTTTACTCAAACATAATCATCTGGAAAATATTCGTTAAGGTCATGTGAAGGGACAAAATAACATAATGTGAACATTCCTGCGTTCATAATTTTACGCGGATTAGTTGCTATAAGTGACGGGTGCAGCTCTTTGATAAATAAAATCTAGAAATCAAGTCAATTGAAACAACTTAGGCATGTTTTGACAGTGTTCTTTCACTGAGCTCTTCGCATTTGTAAATATTAGGATGAGAAGGAAACGTGTCACGCTATCGCAAGTCACGCATCACTTGTTTTGCTGACAAACGACCACGATCTTATTCCTGAAACAGTATTTCAACATTTATAAGTTCCCAGAAAAAAATTGGGGATAAAAAAATTCTGATGGAAAATAATTTAACAAGTAATCAAGTTCTTGAAGACGCTGAAAATTAAATCAGAGAAGCCTGCGAGATATTTCAACGAGGAGGAACTAGACTCTCTCGTCGATTGTAAACTTCTCTGTTAGCAGCCGCCGTTTTACGGCAAGTCTTCAAATGCTGACAAAAGATCCAGACTCGATGTTAGCTGCTATGTTCTCAGGGAAGTTCGAGGTGAAACCATCAGAAGACGGAGCTTTCTTTATCGACCGAGATGGCAAACACTTCCGATTTATACTCAACTATAGCCGCACTGGGAAATTAACTTTGCCAAGAAGAGCAACATTTCTAGACGAACTTGCGGAAGAAGCTGAGTTTTACCAGATCCAAGGGATTCTAGACGAGTTAGTATTTAAATTACCGGAATATTTTGAAGAATCAGTGATTCTGACGAATAAAGAACACTGAAGCGTGTTAAATGGTTGGTTGTCTCCACCAGAGGGAAAATGGAAGCTTCCATTCCCAGGTTCCTGAGATGGCCTCTAAGCTCGAACGTTGCACTCAAAATGTGACACCAAAGGGCCCACTGACGCCATCGTGAAGAGCAGAAATTACATTTTTGGTGGATTCACTGAAATGTCGTGAGACAGTATGTATGTTAGTTGTGACAGGGTTAGATAATGGTGTTATTTGCTGCGGTTCTAATATAGCAGCAAATTATTGTTTTCACGGTTGTGACTTCTGACTCTTGTCATGGAGACGTGAGATTTTACTAGGGCAAATTACTCTAAGCTGACATCACTGCTGGCATTTGTGCTTTCTTCTTATAATACATTTCTTTAAATTTACACTTATTTTCTTTGCGTGTATTTCAATTTGATTGTAGGTGGTACGTAATATATTTACAGTTTGTATTTATATACTTTAGTTCAACCTCTCTCCCTCGAGGTTCATGTTCAATGTCTAGCTCTGCACTCGAGAGAGTTCAGGTTTCCTCCTCAGATAAAAAGGGGGTTTTTCCTGACGGGCAGCAGGCACGCATTGGTAACTTACACCTGCGATAATAGAACTGCACTTCAGAGTTTTTTGTCCATATTGTTATTTTTTCTTGTTGCTGCCTTTGTTGTAATTACGTGATTGTATAAATAAAAGGGGATTGATGCTTGCTTTACCCTGGGCCTGACTCGCAAACTGCCTTTGACAAATCGTAGCGGTTTGGGTGTATTGGACAACCCTCTATTGTGGTCCATGAGAGCAGAACAAAGCAGGCACCACCTTGTCTTTGCGATTTATTTCATGACAGATTTAGTGTGTCGGGACACAACACTAGGAACCAACTCTGAGTTAAATATACCTAAATGCAGGATATCAGCTGGCCAATGCTCTTTCGCCTTTCGCGGGGAAAAAGAATACAACCTCAAGTTCTCCAAGAACAACAACTTCACATGCAGAGTAGGCAACAGCGAAACCAGCTTTGAAGTGAAGACTGGCGTCAGACAAGGCTGTACAATGTCGGCGATGCTCTTCAACATGACCATTGACTGGGTAACGAGGCGCACAACAGAAGATCAGTCAGGGGGCATCAGATGGACCCTCTTCTCAACGCTGTAGGACCTAGATTTTGCAGATGATCTAGTCTTGGTCTCCCATACTTACCAACACATGCAGGAAAAGACGACCCGACTCAGCACTTACGCACAGCAAGTTGGCCTGAAGATCAGCCAAAAAAAGACAGAAGTGATGCTGCTGAACGTATCCAACCCTAAACCAGTTCAAGTGAACGGAGAAGACTTGCCAACAACTAAAGAGTTCACTTACCTGGGCAGCGCAGTAAGGCATCATGGTCGAGCAGGGGGTGACATCAAGAACCGTCTCAACAAGGCCAGAAACGCCTTCAGAATGCTCAACAACCTGTGGAGGTCTTCTCAGTAGAGCGCCACGACCAAGCTGAAGATCTACAAAAGCTGTGTGATGTCCACCCTACTACGACAGAGAGCGACATCACCAAACTGTCAGTCTTCCACACAAAGAACCTCAAGAGAATCCTGCAAATCTTTTGGCCTGACACCATCTCCAACCAACAGCTACTCGCCCGCTGCAATTAAGACAGCATGGAGACCATCACCATGCGAAGGCGATGGAGATGGATTGGGCACGTCATGAGGAGAGAGCAGGACAACATCACTCGCACAGCCCTTCACTGGACAACTGAAGGAAAGTGCAAGAGGAGAATACCAAGAAACACCTGGCGCCGAACTGTGGAGGCAGAGCTCAAGACCATGCAACACACTTGGGTACCATCCAGAAGCTGGCCCGGCACCGACGGACGTGGCGATCCTTCGTAGCCGCCCTAAGTGCCACACGGCAAATTGGGCATGAATAAGTGAGTGAGTTCTCCCAGAAAACATTCGGAACATAAACAACAACTCGTTTCAAAAGGAAAGTCGCCCACTTTGTTGGAAACTCTTCTTAAATGGATCAAAACACATCTTTCTACTTGTACATGAGGCTCATGTAAATATTTTTTTCGCAACACAGTTAAGAGAGTGTCTCTGTAAGAGCGGTCCGGTCGATTTTGCTTGAGACACGGATTTCGCTCGTTTCTCGTGTGTTGTAAGACATTCATGTACCTATACTAAAACCACAATCAGTTTGATCGGATCTCTTTATTTTTCAGAGTTTTACGGAAATTAAATTTCACTCGAGCGAAGGCTTGTCGTGACACTTTTCAAGACTTTAATTTCATACAACTTTGGAGGACAATTTACAAAAAACTACGGAACTCAGCAAAAAACAAATACCACAGCCATGTATATTAACTCTATCTTATCTATCGAGGCGACTTTCGTAAACATCACGTGTCAATCAAGGAAACAGGAAGACTTGAATGACACCTTATCGGTTCGCCTAAATCAAACACGCCAAAACCGATCAAATTCAAGGTTAATTTTTGAAAAAGTGAGGCGTTCTTAACTGATCCAACTAACATAGCTAGGAAGCAGGTGCAATAGAAAAGATAACTACAGAAAAAAACTTTGCGGCCCGACCTTTACGAGAACTTTACAACTCCGTGAACTTACCTAATTTTCGGCAATCTCCAAGTTTGGCCGCCATTTTGATGGACTTGTCAACATGAAGCGTAACCGATATAAATCAAGCAGGTAAATCTAAAACCGTCAGAAATATATAAGAAAGCAATTCAAATGAACTTTACTTTCAATTCAAGCGGCAAAATTTGAAATTGTTTGTTAAACTTACCATCCCCATGCGACCATTTATTCCAACAATACAAACACTACAACTTTCTGAATTCCCCTCGTCGATTCCACCGCAAGAAATAACCTGTGCCACCCAAGCTTCGACTCGAATGTGAAGTACGAATCAAATAACATAACTGCTTCATCTTCGCGGCAATATCACGCTGGTATTTTGATTTTCCGATCGACAAGAACGGT